AAAATCTTCTTCTTAATAACAACAATGTCATGATTAGTCATATTAATATGGAAGCACCATCAGTTAGTGTAGATGTACGTTTGTTCAAATCATGACCCCCGGGGTAGGGTGGGGTCACAATGGGGGATCAAAGTTTTACATAGGATATATATATATATATATATATATATATATATATATATATATATATATATATATATATATATATATATATATATATATATATATATATATATATATATATATCGAAAAATCTTCTCCACAAGAACAGCAAAGCCATCTTTAGTCAGATTGATATGGAAACATCCTCAGTTATTGTAGATTCAAATTTGTTTAAACCATGATAACAGGTCATATAAAATTAATTTTCCGCCGGAATATGGCTGAAATATAGCCGACTCGGCGTTAAACCCTAATCAATTAATCAAACCATGACCCCCTAGGGGTAGGATGGGCCACAATGCACTATCAGGGTTTAGCATGTGAATGTATAGGAAAAAAATTCTAAAACCTTTTTTTCAGGAACAACAAAGCCATGTTTAGTCACATTGATATAGAAGTATCTTGAGGTAGTGTAAATTCAAGTTTGTTTAAATCATGACCCCGAGGGTAGGGTGGGGCTAGCGCTATATCTATAAAAATCATGACACCTGGGGTAGGGTGGGGTCACAATAGTGATTAATGTTTTACATTGGAAGATATGTTAGAATAAATTTGCTGATGATAAACAGCAGGGCCTTATTGACTCAGGTGAGCGTTGTGGCCCATGGGCCTCTTATTTTATGTCAAGGTCTTGGAAAATCGTAGGACGATTCTTTTATAAAAGGCAGTGACGAATCTGAATGTATAATGGTAGTACAATGTATATTTATCTAGAATATATTCACTACATACCATCAAAAGATATGTTCAGATTTATTATCCCTGTATATCACAAAAACGTTGTGTTAGAATGATCATTAGTTGTACTGTATCCGTATCTTTGATTCATATAGCATGAAAAAGAGGGAGTATTTGTTTCTGTATTCATACAATGAATTGGGAAAATAATCACCTTAAAAATAAGAAAGGGGTTCATCAACACTACGTACATAATGTATGTGGTAAATGCCTTGTGTGACAAGTAAAAAGAAATCTGTAATACACCAGATGGTGTTTATTTTCTACGTACTTGATACGCAAGGAGCAGATGGAAATTTAAAGAAGGTGTTATTGCCACCCCTCCCCCTCTTCCTCACCTGAGATGCAATGTATTACCGGAAATTTCTCCAGCCACTACCGAAATTATTCATATAACATGCGCAGATCGGGGGGGGGGGGGGAGTCGGGGACCCCCCCCCCCATCTGGAATTTGCAGAGTTATTAAAAGTATATACTGAAGTAAATAAAAAATGACTTTGGGCCCCCTTAGAAAACGTGGACCCTACCATCACCACCACGAAATAGGTGCTTTTCACGTTTTGGAAATGGAATTGGATTTTACGGTTTTTTTCTTCCTTGTCAAGAAATTTTTGGGTTAGAAATTTTTTTGACTGGGATCCCCCCCCCCCCCCGGAAAAATTCTTGATCCGCGCCTGTATAATCATTATTCAAAATTGTTAGGTAATATCCGAAACAACATATGTGCAATGTATAGCATTTATGAAAATCGAACTTCAAAAATTCTGTCATGACTACATGAGACCGATTGTATTATTTCCTCCATGGTTACCACGGAGAATGACTGAGGACTTCGAAAAGGATAATTTAAGGAGACTGGCAAAGTTCCTAGCTTTCGTAAAGAATTTTTCAAAAACTCTTGAGCAGCACTCGGCACACCTCGGCCGATTCGTACCTCATCAAGGTGAAGGAATCAGCCGAGGTTTGCCGAATGTCTTGAGCAGGTGTAGTGGTACTAAACAATACACTTTATTGGTTTTCACCGCGTAGAAAATTCTACACGGGAGATCACTCTCAATCAAGCTCCAGACAGCTCAGTATTACTCCATATCATTATTCGTAGGGAAAGAAGTCCCGGAGAGTATGGAGTATGACTCTCAGTCATACTCCATACAGTGTCAGTTCTCCGGGACTACTTGGTATGGAGTTGTAGCGTAACGTAATACTGAGCTGTCTGCAGCTTGGACTCTCATGATGGAAAACCCCATGAATTACCTTTTTTCCCCGGATAACCGTGAGTTGCCACTTTCCATAAATGAATAAAATAAATATTCATAAATAATCAGCGTTTTATAAAAGAAATATATTTTTGATTTAAAATTAGACTGAAACGCTTCTAGTCGACATCACGAAAATGTACATATCATGTAGCTTGAAATGGGAAATATGACGCACGCTTGACAACGTCCCCAGAAACAGTCAGTATATTTCTGGGTGCATTTGTGGGGGGGGGGGGGATTATAGCACAAATTAATGTAGAAAATAGAAATTCCTTGATACGCAAAAAAAAGGAAGAGGATCAACTGATGTTCCCTCCCCCTTCCCCCGTTCATACAGACGTGAGATACATAAATGACTTGTATATAGAACTGGACATTCAACTTTGCCCAAAATGCTTCATGTCGGTAATAAAAGAAAATATTTTACAATAATGATTTCAAATTTTAATCTGTCATGCAATACAGCCTGCTAGATTATCCCACAGTCTGTCTATTATAATCACAGTAAAATGTGTAATTTCTTTTTCTTTCTTTTTCTTTTGGCAAAAAAAAAAAAAAAAAAAAAAAAAAAATACAAAAATGAAATATTATTTCATATGTAGTTCATTATGACGAGGAAGAGTGATATTTTTATAAGAAAGAATTAAATCCAAACCATGATTATACTTTAAATCTGATGTATATGTTTTCAATATTGAATTACCTGTTTTAAGCTTTAACATTACATGTATTTTGTTTGTGCAGTAAATACAGATCGAATACAACATTAGGCTATATATTACCCTATCCACAAATAGAGGGCAAAATATTATTATAAACTGAAAACAAGTTAATTGTTAAAACTAAAGAGAAGCATATACATATTTTTATTTTTTATCGGTCTTAGTATTAAACTCTACATGCACTTGGAATAAGAAATTTCTTTTAATATTGTAATAAAAATAGACTATATATAATTATATAATTATATCACAATTTTGATGTGTACGCATGAATATCATAATAGTATTATAATTTCTTCTTCAGCATAATTTATTAAAATAGAGAATTCATATCTATTGATTTAAAGCAAACAGATGACCATTACATTGTCATTGCTATCTGCCGCGGGCTCTACCAGCAGGTACCTGTCAGGTATACGAATACTTCACACCCCCATTGTTTTATTGCCTATACACACCGGCAGATTTCACACCTTTAATCATCCTAATTTACACAAAGCAAATGCTGGGGAAAAACAAACACAAGCCCAATAAATGCGACATTTTTTTTAAATCATTGCCCTAAACGGTATTGCTAAAAGCACACGTACTAAACATGGAGTAGCAATTCCTGCCCTAAGAGATATATTGTACAAAAAAATAAACACAACAGCTAGGGCAAATCCTTACTAAACATGGAGTAGCAATTCCTGCCCTAAGAGATATATTGTACAAAAAAATAAACACAACAGCTAGGGCAAATCCTTAATCTTTCTTCATATGATGTAAACAAACTCTCTTTAATTTTATGTGTTTAAGTCAAGATTAAAACATTTTGCACCACCCGGACCTTTAAACTTAGGCGGACCTTTTCTTATACGGGCCGGACCTTTTCTTATAAAAGGCGGACCTTATATGTTATCGTATTAGGTCCCCCCGGACCTTTAAACGAGGCGGACCAAATATTATGCGACACCGGTCTATGTTAGGAAAAACTGTGCATGAAATAAACGTAAAATGTGAAATGTTTTGTTATAAATAACAAGCTGGACATACCCGCCGTATAAATAAAGTCAACTAGCATTATCTTTATTTAGAGATAACTCTTCATGCGTCGTGGGTATTTAATGTCCTTCCCGACGTAGGGAATAATCTTGAGTTTCTGCAACACCCTCTTTGAATATACAAGCAAGGAATATACTTATAAAAACCGTATTAGATAATTGTTCCTCATTCTACCTCAAATCACCCATACAGAAACTGGAATGTATACTTAGTCCAACACTTGAAGTTATACCGATCGACTGTTTGCACTTTTATATAAAAAAAGAAGTCATTAGAATTAAGAAATAAAAGGTCCAACATGTAAGGAGTAAATTACTTAAATTGCGGTCTATTGTAGAATAGAATAGGATTTATTACCAAATCAGGGCCCAATGGGCATAAACATATAACATGTATAATTACAGATAAGATAACAGACAGAATACAACATATAATGAAGAGCAATTCTTCCCATTTAGTACATTGGTGGTGTTTTGAGTTTCACATGTAGACATAGGTTGTCTTTATTTAAGATATATCTGTACTCTTAATTGATACAACTTAATGTGCAATGATGTGCATTACTATTACTAATATTATACATATAACTGAACACATAAAAAATGTCTGATACATCAACAAGAGGCAGCAAGAGACGGTGCTAAAGGATATACAGAAATCCACTTCTGCCTCATGTAGAATAAACAGATACATAATCTATATGGAAAGAGTATTGTATATATACATTCATTGTTCTCTCTCTTTTTTTAATGATAGATTGTATTGCTTGACCCACATGGGTGTATTATGCAATAAAGAAAATTAAATTAAAGATTCTAGGCAGGGAACCAGGAATTTTTATTGGGGGGGTCCCCCCCCCCCCGAAAAAAAAAACTAACCCAGAAAGAATGGAGGCGTACAAGGCAAAGATAATCCCCTGGTCTGAGACAAAATATTACTGTTACAGAAAATCATCTAGAAAGGTATAAAATGTAACAGACTTTTCACAGATTCCTCTCAAATCATGGCATGGACATTTATACGTACAAGTTGTTTAATAATCAATAATCGACCAATCAAATTCTTCGTTCTTCTTTCACGTGGTCTCATGTCAAAGAGAAAAAAAGTCGATGCATGGTTGAGAAAATGATATGGCAAATCTCTTCGACAGACTGAAAGAAACATTCACGCTGCAGGCTTCTGACAATTCCAAGAATGCATCTCCCGATATAAAGAAGGAACTCACACCAGAAACCGATGTCACGCGAGAAAACGTGGAAACTCCTCAGGCCAGACAGGGCCTGGTTTCCGCGTACGCCGTCAACAAACAAGATGGCGGGAAGACTTCAGAGGTGAAAATATGCTCATCAGCACGTAGCGACGATGCTTCAAAAATGAAGACTGATTCCCAATTTATCATTCCTAAAAGGAAAAGAGATGAAAGTGGTAATTAGAGGTTAATTAGTTTTCTTTTAACTAAGGACATCAGGTGAATGAAGGAAAAGTTATGGGTACCAAAATGAAAGTAGGCTTTCAGTATATTATATGAATATTGAAGTAATTTTCCGGAGTTTTGGGAGTGCCTTTAAATTGAAGCATGTGAAAATTTAATTTACTTTCGAAGCCATTTATGCATGAATACCATTAGCGAGAATTAACAATTTTAATTCTAGTGAAATGTATTGTTTTAATTTTACTTGTATATGATAACTTGCCTCATGGGGTCCTTGATTTTTCAACAGAAAATCTCATTCTGTACTTTCTCTGTGCAGATCATTCCCAGAGTTAGAATATGCAGTAAAATCGCTTATTTTCGTTGGGACAAATTTTCCTGGTTAGAGGAGAAAATTACGGGTTCGAGGTGATTTGATTTTGTTGTTAAAAGAGAAAATCATATTGAAGTAGGGGATTTGAACATATCGTGGGGAATATGAATTCATGGGTCTCTTCATACCACCAAAACAGTGAAAATAATTGATTTCACAGTATATGATTATAATTATCCAATATTGCTGTAAAATAAAGTAGATCATACATGTGATAATTTTTAGACCCAAATACTGTACAGGAGTCTTCAAAATACTGGAATTCAGATGAAAATACTGTACATTGTTCATCAAAAAACTGTACAAAACATCTACCAAAAATCAATGCAAGAAGTTCATTTTTTATTAATAAATTTCAATTCAATGAACAAGTGAACCATTGCATGCAGTGTTACTCATTTCAAGAAACTTTTGAAACTTTTAAAATTTCAGCAATCCCCACAGTCAATGCTGAATTTGGTAAAAAGACTTCCATAGTACTGTGTTTAATGCGAGAATCTGGTCATCTCCAGTCATCTGCATTTTTTTGGGGGGGTGGGTGGGGTGATGAAACTAAAAGCATTTCTCTGTGTTAGAATGGACAATACTTATGCCTAAGCAGAGCCAGAAAAAAAGTCTGCTCTGATTATTGACATTTTCTCTTTGAAACGTCTTTAATTTCTACTGACAAAATTTAACTAATTATACAGTTGAAAAAACCCTTAGTATGAAGGGTCTTATGAAAGAATATTCTGCCTAACACAAAGCTTTGATACGTTTTAATTACAATATAATTATCGCGGGAATGTTTCACACCTTCGATGATGAAGCACTTTAAATCACGCATCAAATGAGATTTTGGGTGTTATGAGAGCGAGAATTTAAGAAAAATGGTGATTTCTGGTAAGGGCTATTCCAGGAAAAATTGTATGGGGGGGTTGGAAGGCACTTTTATTTTTACCCCACCACCAATACATTTTTAATTACCTTCTACCCCACCCCCCATCAATTTAAAATTGCTTATGATACAACCACCCATCTAAATTTAAAAAAAAAAAATTGTGTCACACATATATATGCAATAAAATTTTATGTACTTTTTTTCAGGTATTGTAATTTATCTGACTTCGAATGAGTGTTGGGTTTTGACATCTATCCAACCAGGGCCTGTTTTACAAAAGAACTTATGACTGAGATCAAAATGTTATTATGCAAATAAATTTCTTTTTTGCATTACTTTAAAAATGTTTTAAATCTTTTTGAAAAAAAAAATAAGATAGTTTTATGCGAACAATTTTTATCAGAAACATAAGTTTTGTAAGATTTTATGAACAACTAAAGTTTTTAGTCTTAGTAAGAAGTTTTTTTGTAAAACAGTTCCCCGTGTTCCTGCTACAGCTTAAAAAAAATATGTTCCTTTAGGCCTATGATACACACCACTGAAAGCCTTTATTATAGTGATTTGTATATCTGTTCTGATGCATGACTTTGTAGTCTGTAAAGCTTAGGTAAAGCTTTTACAAGTATGTATACACATGTACTAGTAGAAATGACATTCCTACAATTAATTAAAATTAATATTGTAAATTATAGCCTAGCTATCCTTAACAATTGTTGTTCACCTTGTTCATAACAAAATGATTCCTGCTTTTTTTGGTGGTGGTGGGGTGGGGGGGGGGGGTACTAAACTTCTGTAGGCAGTGTCTGTGAAGTGAAAACTTTGATTAAAAAAAATATATTTAATGAATTTTAAATCCCATCTAACAACTTAGACCATTGGTGCATACAAGTTCGACAAGTTAACACTTAACAGGTTAAGGACTGGTATGTTTTTGACATAATATATTTCATATTGTTTTCAAACTCATATCTCATCTTCCTTTTACTCTGTATGTGGTGTAAAGTAAAATATTTGACTTTCAAACTCCGTAGTCATGCTTTAAAACGTTCATTATCAGATACGTTTTTTCTACTTTCGGTTTAAAATAAAACGATCTTTCTGATTGTTTCTAATATAATTTAATTTACCAATGTAATCATGTTTGATTAAACTGGCGAAAAGAAACTGGACCAGGGAGTCCAAAGCACAACTAATCCGTTTTCCAATCCCCCACTGTCATTGCAGTCACAGTTGCACATGCTTTTATAGTTATCTGCCCTTGTTTCCGTTTTGTTCGATTCTACTTTCACTTTCAATGTAAACACACTTTACAACTGTTTAGGACGAAAATATCAGTATTTACCGATTTATACAAAATGAGAGGAAAGAAGTACTTTGCACTTGATTATTTGTGAGGGTAAATACAACCACCCATCTAAAAATATATCGAGTGAGGACAACCACCCATACAAATTTAATTGCTCCAGACCCACTACCCATACAAAAATATATGAAGTGCCGTCCAACCCTCCCGTACATTTTTTCCTGGAATAGCCCTAAACAATTCAAAATACAGAACAAATTTTCATTTCCCATGAATTTTTATGTACCGCCATGAGCCTGTGAATGGAGTAAAAAATATGTGACATTTTGTGTACAGTCTGTACATATCACATGTATGGTAGATCTGCTTGATGCAAATTGAACCGGGTGATGCAATTAAAAGCAAGTTCCAAGTTAATTTAATTTGCTTCTTGAATTGTTCTTATGCCTTCAAAGGACAAAAGCTGATCCATAAAAAGGAAATAAACATCTCATTTTGTCAAACTTTTTTCCAGGTTACATATTCTGACATTTAGAACTTCCTTCGCGTACAAAATATTGCTTATATTTGGAGTTACCTGCCCCTGTTACTTTGCTCTGTGCAATTAAAAAGAAAAGTTATGACACCCCAAGGACAAAATCATTGAAACTTTATTCTATCTAGAACGCCATGTGCCCATTAATCCCAAACTTTTGCTGACAATTTCGACGGTCACATTTTAAACTTGGGAAGATTTCTAATCCAGACTTCTCATGGAGGCCACTAATATGCAAATCATTTTCAAATATGTATGATAAATATGATGTCATATGATAAGTATGATGTCATATCGTGACAAGTATGATGTCATATCATGATAAGTATGATGTCATATCGTGACAAGTATGATGTCATATCATGATAAGTATGATGTCATATCATGATAATTATGATGTCAGACCATGATAAGTATGATGTCATATCATGATAAGTATGATGTCATGTCATGATAAGTATGATGTCATATCATACCATTATTTCTTTCAGATATTTTGGTAGATTTAATGATCAATTCCCGGGAATTCCAGTATGAAATATTACCAGCTATTGTGAAGAGTTACAGAAACTCACAATCAGCAGAAAAATTTAAATACACCAAAGTACAAAGTGTGCACAACAGAGATCTACTCAAGCTGGTAAGTTTTACCTCTACTGGTCAATGGTTGGAAGAGCTTGTGCAATGGAATGTGTCCGTTGTTGTTTCACGTTTAGAAAACAGTGAGCAGTTTAATGTTTTAAACGTTAAAATTACCATTAAGTACAACCAGTAGAGCTACAGTCTCATAAGAAACTTCTGGTTCAGAAATCATGAATAGAGATTTAGCATATCCTTAACATTATGAACAAGATGGAAGATGCATACATATATAAGTATACCACTGACTTTAAGCAATCATTCTTGTACAATATGTAATATAAATTGAAGTGTATTGCACACAGTTGGTCATCGAGTTTTAGAGAAAAAGTAAGCAAATTAATAGAATAAATTTGATTGCAGTACTTGGAAAAACGCAAAGAGCTGAGGAACAGTGGATATTCGGACAAAGAGTCGGGAGACTGTGTAGCCTTCTTATGTGTGGAAGACGAGGAGCTCATGTTCAAAATCTGTCGAGACGGGGTCCCTATTGGGAACTATCCACGGTCTTGTCTTGGACATCCAATGATGGGTAGGACTGAAAATAAGACAGTAAAATATAATTATCTCCTTCATTATTTACTGTGTATAGATTTCTTATATGTGCTTATGTTAATTCTATTACTAATAAGTATTCTTGAAATATGATAATATGAAATATGACAAACTTAATGAATGAGCTATAGCATTGTAACTATTTATACCATGTAATTTCTATATCAGGGGTTCAGCTGTGTAAGCATGCAGACATAATCAAACCTGTACCCCTACAACCAAACGATACAGGATATCTTATTCTGTTCAAAATTATCAAGGTTAGTGCAACAGTGATTGTATATATTTGATTTTGGGTGATATGGGAAGGGATTAGGCCATGTGCCATAGTTGCACAATCTAATTAAAATTAGATGTTCTGAATCCGCTACCGCTTCTCAAACATCTAACAACATCCCATTAGGGGTCACGTCAGAGCGACCTTTCTAATATGAATAAACATAAAAATTTTGGCCAATCAGATTCAACCTTCTGTATACAATTCTAAAATTAGTTCCACGGCTACATATCTTTATATTATTGATGCTCAGTAGACTGTCTTACGTTGAATTAAAGTAATTTTGGTATAACTTGAACGTATAATCCGCCAATCTGGCATTCTAACCTGAATAGCACACACGAAAATGCACAAAATACTATATATCCTGCACGTCAAATTCATATATAGCATGACGTGACCCTTAATGGGATGTTGTTAGATGTTTGAGAAGCGGTAGCGGATTCGGAACATCTAATTTTAATTAGATTGCATAGTTGCATTGAAGAGAATAATGGCACATTAAATCAAACATTCAAAGTGGGCTTACAATTTTTCATAGTAGCTAAGTTTTAGTGATGTTGTTTAGAAAATATCTTGCATGCAACATGCCTAGTAATTGTCTTATTTTCATTTTAAATGCATTCATTTTAATACAATGAATCTCAATGGTGTAAGGTTGTCCATTGAAAATAGACTACCAATAAACCGTTTCCTGTCAGATAAAGCACTTTAGGACAATAAAGGTACAATACCTCATTGATTTATAATGCTCAATCAAAATTTTGACCTTATTTATAATTTGTCCAAAAATATGAGTGTTACATATTGTTAATACTATTCTTTAAATTTGATATAATAGAAAAAGTGAAGAATTAGATATAATTAATTTAAAAAAAAACCCAAAACAAAACATAGTGATGTGTATATTATATTTGTTTGTCATAATTGTAATAGTTCTCAAAATGGCCCTTCAGAAAGTGTAGATGGCCATTCATTTTGAAAATGGCCCATTAGAAATTCTAACAGTGGAGCGGTACTAGTCTGATTAACTTTCTTGGCTTTCCAGTCACTGAATTCTTTCTGCCTTTTGTTATGAACATGTATATTTGCATGGTGTCATTAGGAATAAAAGACTAAAGCTCCAAAATTTAAAACCATCCTTGAACAGTTGGAGAACTGTAATGTGTTCAGCTTGGCCATTATATTCAATGACAATGTAATTTTTGTTCTCTGTATCATTACTATGTGATTTACAGGGCCGAATAAAGTCAGTAGCTGAATCCATTAGTGAGAACCCCTTAGAGCCCACACCACATTTTGATTGTCATGTAAGCAGTAATGTGCCTGACACTTCAGCATCCTACCAGAGCTTGTTTGAATCCAGTCAGGTGAGCAAGTTTAAACATAAAATTAATATATGTTTGTTATTAGTATTTAACTGAGACAAATTAAAAGACAGTATTTTGTTGTAATTTATACAGGATTTGGTACTTTTATTAGTGTACATCTACAAGTATGTTCTTTTGTTTTATATCTTACATGTATGTGGTATTTGTACAGATGTACAAGTATGTGTGTTGTTCTGATATGTACTTTATGCAGTATATTTTCCAGGTGTACATGTACAAGTATATACAATGTTCTGAATTATATGGGATATGATATATTTATACAGGCGTACATATGCGAGTACATGTACCTGATATATTCTAGGTGTACATGTACGAGTTTTTATGTTCTGATTTATACGTGTGTACATGACGTGTTATATTCTAGGTGTACATATACAGTCAAACTTGTCATAGCGGTCACCTCTATCCAGCGGTCACCTGTCCTATGTGGTCATTTTATTTCCTCCCAATGATATTTCCTATATAAAGTAAATCTATTAAGCGGTCACCTGTGTAAAACGGTCAGTGGTCATCAAATTTCAAACGAAATCGCCATTTTTCCCTGTCTTTAGCGGCCATTTTGTCCAATCACGTGACCTGATCTGGTGTCAGCTGATTCCTAATTTTTGTAATGTAAATAATTGGTCAAGTATTGCGGGATCATGAACAAAAAATTAATAGATAGACTTTATTTAAAACCATTTATATTAATGGATAAGCGTATGAAATATTTAACAAACTGCTTATTTGTTCTACAAACTTCGGACAACAATGCTAATGACCGAAAAAGTTAGCAGGAAAAAAAACGAACATTATCGATCATAATTATGAGGACCTAAACTTATGGATTTGGAATCAACTTTGAAAAAAAGAACAACGTAACCCTATTTATCTATTGATACGTGTAAAATAATTTTGTTTCTCATTTACAGTGTGTAAGCTAATTACGATATCACATGCCCAACTCCGAGAGCTGTAAAATGTTTTTACACATGATAGGCATTTTTTCACACCTAGGAAACTTGTATGATTTGTAGAAACCATAATTACAGTTTATATACACAATGTGGATGGGGTATGTCGTGAATTTGTGAAATTCACAAAGGAAAAAGACCGTTAGGGATTAGTAACGCTTCATTGCAAAGCTAGGACACCTGTGCACCTGTTTGATCAACTGAAAGTCAAAGTGACAGTGCCCTGTTTGTGTATTATACAACAATTTGAGTTTATGAAAGAAAATACATGTACAGCTGTTAATTTTATGAATCAAGTTTAGATAAAATAATATTTGATGAATTTTATTGATTTATATTATAGAAAAATTTAAGTTATTATGATGGAGGATAATGCAACACCCTGTAAGAATATACTTTTTGGATTCATTAAATTTAGTTTGAACTCATCTTCAAGTCATGCGTCTACGGAATAAAGTTTTTAAAAAATAAGTGAGACCACTGGTGTCGTACCTATCTTTCTTTTATATTCTATAGTGTAATTATATAAACACAGAACCAAGATATTTGTATAGAAATTCTTTGAAAAAAAAGATGAACCTCTATCAAAAGGTCATCTCTGTATAAAGGTCACTTTTAATGGATCCCGTAGGTGACTGCTTAATACAGGTTTGACTGTACAAGTAATCTATGTAAGTTCTGATTTATATGTGACGTGTTATATTCTAGGTGTACATGTACGAGTATGTACGTTCTGATTTATCCCTGATATGATATATTCTAGGTGTACATGTACGAGTATGTACCTGATGTGATATATTCTAGGTGTACATGTACGAGTATGTACCTGATGTGATATATTCTAGGTGTACATGTACGAGTATGTACCTGATGTGATATATTCTAGGTGTACATGTACGAGTATGTACCTGATGTGATATATTCTAGGTGTACATGTACGAGTATGTACCTGATGTGATATATTCTAGGTGTACATGTACGAGTATGTACCTGATGTGATATATTCTAGGTGTACATGTAGGAGTATGTACATTCTGATTTATACCTGATGTGATATATTCTAGGTGTACATGTACGAGTATGTGCATTCTGATTTATACCTGATGTGATATATTGTAGGTGTACATGTACAGTATGTACATTCTGATTTATACCTGATGTGATATATTGTAAGTGTACATGTACAGTATGTACATTCTGATTTATACCTGATGATATATTCTAGGTGTACATGTACGAGTATGTACCTGATGTGATATATTCTAGGTGTACATGTAGGAGTATGTACATTCTGATTTATACCTGATGTGATATATTCTAGGTGTACATCTACGAGTATGTACATTCTGATTTATACCTGATATGATATATTCTAGGTGTACATGTACGAGTATGTACATTCTGATTAATATCTGTTATATTCTAGGTGTACATGTATGAGTATGGGGAGGAGGAGGTCGTACAGTACCCCAGAAATGTCTGTCCTGTGGCTGTAGTCAGTTTTGTGTATGAAAAAGATTCCAGGGACCCCAGAACAAACAGTCCCAGGTAAATGTTATTTTAGGAATGACTCTAATTCTTGGCCAAATTATTCAAGTATAACCTGGTTTGGGTCAGTTTACGTTCTATAATCCGCGAAGCGGATTATAAAACAGCGTAAACTGACCCAAACCAGGTTATACTCAAATAATTTGGCCAAGAATAAGAGTCATTCCTTATAATTTAATTTTAAAATCATTAAATAACTATGGGTGTAAAATTTCGTTGCTTTTTATTAGTTCAAATTTGCCGCTCAATAATACAACGGAAGTAACGAAAGTGATGGGAAGCGAGGGGAGCTAAAAACTGATACATAGGCCTAGCAGCCTTGTTGTTTGTTTACATGTGGTAAGATCGAATTATTGTTTGAAGTTAAAGGTACATTTATTAAATCTGGAATTTTCCATGAATCCAGAGGACTGGAAATGAGAGGATTGTATGGATGCAGATGATTCAGCTGGTTGTCGGGGGGGGGGGGGGGGGGGGGGTCCCCATACCAAACCAGGTTATACAGAAATAATTTGTGTTCCTTTTTGGATATTAACCAATCAGAGGCTAGAATACAAACAAAATTAAATTATTTCTGCGTGAAAAGGAGAGTCACAGAGATTATGGTATTGAGCCCAGAACAAACAGTCCCAGGTAATTGTTATTTGTCTCAATGACAGTCCCAGGTAACTGGTATTATCTCAATGAAATGGAAAGTTGGTTGATAGATTATGGTAATGATCAGTGTTAATTAAAAATTAGTTCACAGTTGTAGAAATCTTTTTGCAAAAACTTTATTTTCTTCATGTACTGTATACAGAGAAATTTTCACTGCCATTTTATTTTTGCACCTTTCGCTCTTGCTACAAGTGGGCGAATTTAATAACAGGTCAAATTCAAAGTAATCAGCATATTTTTTTTTGAACAAAAACTGTGCATGGGCAAATTCAAAATGGGGTGAAATTAATTGAAAGTGTGAAAGGGCCTAAAATAATATGGGGCCAAAATAACCCTGTGTATATTATTTTTCATTTTGATATTTTTTTTGTTACTTGAAATCGTGTGTGTGTTTTTGTGAGACCAAGCAAACCAAATTTATTTTGTTTCAGTACTTTTTAATTGATCCTTTCCCTCCACAGAGTACATCAGTCACTGTCTCGGGGAGGGTCGCTTGCAGGGGGATCAGTGAGAGATGGGGAGCAGGAGTTTGTGGTCTGGTCTGGTAGTCTGACCATTAAGGGACTCTATGCTTGTAGTGTAGAAATGACATCATCGGCAGCCTTTGTAAAACCAGCTGTGCTGTAAGTCATGTGTTTATATGACAAACACTATCATTGCAACATCTGATTGTCTTTTATTTTGAAAGATAATTACTGTGGAATCATTTAAATTCTTGGGGGTCAATGTTCGTGGGCAAGCAAAATTTTATTGGTTTGTGGGGATGTAATTTCATGGGCAGCTCGTTTATTTGGTAGATTTAATTAATCAGTACGTTGACATAAAAAGTGTTCGTGGGGATGTAAATTCGTGGGTAAGGGTGACCCATGAAATCCATGAACATTAATCCCCCACGAACAATGATGATTCCACAGTATGCTGTGGGTTCATGAGGTGATTGATTGGATACAATACTGGTCCCGTATAGATATTAATTACATGTCAATTCTACTTCATTATCAGAGGGAGCCAAATTAACATCAGTTCCAAACTAAGTGTAAAGCAGGTTCAACAGAAGTACCTGAGAAATGTGAGTGGTATTAGGAGAAGCAGCGAGGGCTATTGGAATGGTTACTATGTCAATGCTTGTGAGCTCCGCCCACTGGCTCCTGAGGGACGATCACATTTTCAGAGAGTCATGAACTACCTTGGAAAGCATAATGCTGTAAGTCACAGATGAAATAGATTTTGTTCATGTGTGTACTTGAGGAATACATATTAATATTCTTAATATAAACTTTATTAATTCAAACAGTGACATTTCTTTTGTTAGGGAGAACTGTATAAACATGCAAATTTATTTGTCACATCAGAATATTTTTCACTCATGCAGACATGTTAAGATAATTTGAGCAGCTTTTTAAGTAAATGATATAAAATGATATACTTATTAGTGTTGTATCGATAATCAGAGAACATCGATTGTCGACCAAAAAATGCCACCGATTCCGATGATCGATTAATATTTTTCATAATCGATCATCGGAAAAGGACTTCTTATAAAATGCATTCCGGAATTATCTGTTCCCGGTTTAAAATTTATTTCTTCGTAATGAAAGAAAATGGCGTCTGCACACAAAACAAAGGTGATTAAGAAACCAAAAGGTGCATATAAAGGAAGTGTAAAAGAAGCAAATCATCAAAGAAAACAATATATTATATATTTTATATATTCTTGTTAAAGAAATAATATGAAATACTTGTAATAGTCTCCTATTTATATACAAAACTATGACATCCTATTATAATCAATAAAATCGCAGTGGAAGCAATAACCGATTCCAACCGATGATCGATTATGAAAATTAAACGATGTCCCATCACTAATACTTGTGATTACTTGGTAGATTGCTGTACAGAAGCTGGAGAAAGATGTGACTTTGTTGATGCTGACACAAAGTGAACTTACATACCAACTAGGTAAACAGGATAAACTTGTGTAGAAAAGAGAAAGGATTTTTTGTTTGTTTATTTAGTGTCCTGAATTTTTCAAATTCAGATTGTTCTTATTTGATATATATGGTGAATTTTTAACTCACCTTGACCAAATCAAGATGAGATTATGCTGTATCCTAGACATCTGCATTCCTGGTTCAAGTTTTAGGAGCAAGATCATTCACAAGTAACTATAAGCTCTGTGTGGACCAAACATACATGGATGATACATTTAGGAAGGCTTGCTTTAGATGCTGATTCTAACCTAGATTTTCTGTTGCATGACCAGGTTAAAGTTTTTGGAGGAAATCCATTCACAAGTAACTATAAGCCATATCTGGACTAAACTTGCATGGATGATGCATCTAGGGATGCAAACAAATAAGCTTGCTTTATATTCTGGATTTGACCTACATTTTCTGGACGAGTGACCAGGTTAAAGTTTTTGGAGCAAGTCCATTTCCTAAGTATCTATAAGCTATGACAAGGTTAAATTTTTTAGAACAAGTCCAAGATGCAAGACTTTTCCTTACTCTAGATAATGTTCATGAAGGTGAGCTTAAGATATCCTTAAATACCTTTGTTTGAGAAAGGTGGTGGCTACTCTTTTTTTTAAACAATGGAGACTTTTTTCTCCAAATAAATACTGCTCTTGTGTAATATAACTTGATGATGAATATCCATTAGAAGGTGCGTTTTATCATATTTCAGGATTGAGCCGTCCACATCAGTATCCTGTTTTGTTGTATTGCTTGTTTTTGTCCCGAACATCTGCAAGAAAAAGTAAGAGAACAGAAGCATAAAGTTACAAATAGGAACATAATAATATTTAATTGTATATATGTATGTACATGCACATCTTTTTTCAGGGCTGTCTAACCCTGCTGGCATTTCCAAGGAAGCTGACAAGACTAACACCAGTCCTGCTAAGCCACCACAACCACCCATGCCTTCATCATTACCACCAGCAAGTCCTCGATCAGAGGACCCATTGAGGACACACCAGTCCTCTTCATCTCCATTCCTCCCTCCCTCTAGTCCTCAGCATTCCATTCCACCCTCCCCAATGCTAGACTATCAGAGATCTCCTTCTTCTAATATTGTGTCTTGGCCTCAGAACCTTCCATTTGGTAGTCCCAGAAATCCGCTAGTCCCACATTCCACACCTCCTCCATCTCCTGCCAATTATCCTGGTGCACCTGTACCCCATACCCCTCCCTATAGGATGCCACCATCTCCCCAAACAACCCATCCATTAGCTCCAAATTCACCATTTCACAGTCCATATCGTGGTCCTGAGTTCTGTGGAAGTTCACCACAAAGAAGGATAAGTAGAGAAGGTCAGCAAGGCTACTCTTGTCCCTTAGAATCAAAATCAGCAATGTCTTTCAATCCTCCCAACACATTCCAAGGTGGACCAAACTTTGATGCACAGTATCCACCGAGACCAAACTTTTTATCTCAGTCTCCTTATAAACCTCCCCATCATCCAGGTGATATAGGGTTCCAGGGCCCAATGCCCCACTTTAGAAACAATGCCGGTTTTGGAGGTCCTAGGTTTCCAGATCCAAATTGGAATTCCACTCAAGGCAATGCTTTTCAGGGAAGATTTGATCCTAACAGAAGTCCCAGAATACCAGGACCAACATTTGAAAACAGTGGGACATCTAATCCATTGTTGAATACACCGCCTCATCTCAAGTTGCATAATATGTCAAATGATGTTTTTAATTCTCCAAATAAGCCCGCTTGGTCACAGAGTGGTCCATATGGAGCCCCACCCTTAGACAGAGGTAATGTTCAACAAAATGTACAAACCACAATGCACCGGAGTGACCCAAGGCTGAGCAAAATTGTGTCACCAAAAGTGAATCCTGTTGCTCCAATGCCAAGAGGAAGCACATCTGATACCCATGGGAGTCCCAGTCAAGGAATGATCAGTCCTGGGGCTGTGGAGTTTCCCAGTTCAAAATTGTCTCCCATTTCACATCCTTCACCACAGCAAATACCAGGTATGAATCTTAGCAAATAAAGTTCCCTCAGTCATATCAATTTTCTATATATTTATTCATTAAATTGCTAATAGTAGAATGATGAAAATCTAATACAAAAATGAATTAGATAAGGCCATAAAAATTAATTTTTTCTCAGGTAAAAAATTTCAAAATTCAATGCCGCAAGCAGGGTTTTTTTTGGAAGCATGTTATACCTTTTTTTCATGTCATTCGTTCAACAAAATGATGTCAACTGATTCTTACTTTTTTGGTTCTCTCATTAATTATAATATGTATTCAACTTTAAATAATGTTATTCCAAACAAAGTTAATTCATAAAATACTGTATTAACAAGAAATGTATTGTTTATTTAATAAAAACGTCCTAGTATTAGCATTTATGAAAAGGGGAATAACTCAATTTTCTTTTTTAACTTGGAAAAATTACAAAACAGATATATTTCCCTTTTCAATATGTTAATAAAATTTATCAATGTGGCAGTGTTTGATATGATGAGGCAGTGCCTGAGAAACTATTGATTAATTTTTTCGCCTAATGATTTTTTGTTTTTAATTTAGAACTAACATGATTTCGTTGATTATTAATTTGTTTCAGTTGTGGCTCCCCCTGGGACACCACCACAAACTAAGGCATCCCATATACCTCCACCTCCTATTGTCCAGCTTCCAGAGCCTCCTATACCATCTCGAGTTACCACTATCCCAGAGTCTTTTGATGGTGGATTCTTCTTCAAACCACCATCATCAAGTCTCCTGCAGCTTGACAAAGTCAAAAAGGTCTTTGAAGAGCAGAATGTAGCTCAAGAAATCCAACAGCGAGCTAAAGAAGCCATCAAAAGGCATTTATTAGTGAGAAGTCGCACAGAAAGCAAGAAAACACAAAGTTTAAAGGCAGGAAAGATTGAAGTGAAACAAACTGGGAAGGACTTGGAGAAAGAAGTGGCTGAATCAGCAGAGGACATGAAGCAGTTGTTAGAAAGCAGTCTAGAACCCAAACTTACAGCAAAGAAAAAGGTGGAACAGCTTAAAAAGAAAGAGAAAGGTAAACATGAGGTAAAAGAAAAGTACCGGATGAAGGAAAAAGGACTTGGAGAAAAGCTTAAGGCAAAGGGAAAATATGAAATCATGCAGAAGGACAAAGTTGGTTCAGTGGAACCAGGGGTAAATAAGAAAATTCAAGAACCTGAAACTTCTCAAACAGAATCTTTATTAAAACTAAAAATTTCAGAACCTGAGACCTTTAAATTGGACAGTTTGGAAGACATTGCTCGCATGAGAAAAATAACGGAGGAAGAGATCAAAAGAGAAAGTGAGAGGCAAGAGTCAATGGATGATATGGACTTGGATGATGACCCACTTGAGAAAATTAATCGTAGGAATAGCAAAGATGAAGATCCAGCTGAGAAAATTAGTATAAAGAATAACAAAAACCCAGCAGAGAAGCCAGAAAGCAAAGATGAAGAGCCAGTGGACAAAGTTTCTAAGAAGAGCAAGAAAAGACCAAAGGAGAGGGATGCTTTAGATGAAGTGAAAGACCTATCAGACACTGACGAACTCCTGTCAAAGAAAGCCAAAATTGACACAGCAAGTGACATGAAAGATTTCTTGAATTTATCTCTAAATGAAAATGATCCATCTTTAGAGTCAACACCTCTAAGGGTAGATTTAGTGCCTAAAAAGAGATTAGAAAAGAGGATAGTTGATGGGAAAATGGAAAAGGATAAGAAGGCCAAAACTCAATATTACAACATTTGTGAAGAAATAAGTGGGATAGCAGGAGAGAGAGTGAAAATTGAAAATGTAATTGAAGGCGAAAAGCCTACTAGAACAGTAGAAATAAACGATCCTTCCTACAATGACATTAGTGCCATTGAGAAATCCAAATCTTTTTCAAATGTTAAAGGAAGTGTAACAAAGCTAAAGTTGGATGATAATCCAGAAGGGTTGGTGTCGGAGAAAGGTACCAGTGCAATAAGGAAGGACCAGAAACCAAATACTTCAAGCAAATCAGATTCTGGAAAGATGGAAGGAGAAACTGCAGATCAGTCTGGAAGATGGGATAATCCACTAAAGAAGAAAAAGAGAACAGACAGCGAGTCTGATGGTGAAAGAAAAATAGAAAACAAGAAAGGCAAGATCATAATAATAAAAGAGATTAGAATGATTCGAGTGAGTTCTGATGGCAGCGAGATCAAGTCCCCTGACAAAGAACCAGAGACCAAAGAGAAGCTGACAGAGAGTCCTGAAAGCCCTGTACATACTCCTGTAGAGGAGGATCTAAAAGTGGTGGATCTACAAGAGGTGGATCCGAAAGTGGTGAAAATCAAGATGGAGGAGCCAGAAGAGAGAGAACAAAAGAAGGAATACAGAAGAGAGAAAGAAAGTGTGAAACAAAAAGAAAAAGATTACAGACAAAAGGAAGACAAAAGTAAGAGAAGGGATTGGGAGGAAAGAAGAGATGACAATAGGAGGAAAGACAAGAATGAAAGAAAAGAGAAATCAAAAGGAAGAGAGGGAGGCAAGGAGAAAGAAAAATCATCTGATTTGAAGAGCAGAAAAAAGGCAGAGGATTCCAGAAAACACCTTGTCCTCTACAGTGACACAGAAAGTGAGAGTTCACGAAGCCATTCATCATCAATGAGAAGTCGGCGGTCCGAAACACCAAACTCTGATGATGGAAAGGACTCGGTACCTCGTTACACTAGAATTTATCCAGATTTCAAACCGGGAAGACCAAAGCTCCCAAAGGCAGCCTCTAGCACAAAGACAGCCTCTAGTAGTCAGGGTCGACAAGAACCAGCTCGTAAGCCTGGAGACCAAAGACGTGGCAATCTGTTCCACAAATCCAAGCATCAACAGGACAGCAAAGCATATCCATATAAGACGGGGTAAGTAGAGGCTAAGATAAACATGAATAGTTCAGAGACAGTTACTAAATAGGAATCTGGCCAATCATCATTATTCTTCATGCAGTGAAATCATTATGCCAAACTAACATAGCAACAATATTTTGTTTTTTCATTGTGTAAATGTTTAATCACATTTTTTGCTGAGTTATTTATCTATTGTGCATATAATTGTGTGTCCAGTGCAGCAACTTAATGATCATGCTTGCTTTGTCTTTACTAATATTAGAAAGGCAGGCATAAGCAAAATGACTGACATTCAAGTCAAGGGCAAAGTCAGATCTCTGGTCCAAAGTAGAAAGGATTTTAGGGCTCACCAAGGTGGTATAATGTTGACTTACTAACATTGTTTTTACTGACCAGTTCGAGCTGATTCAGCAGTTGAATTAATTGATTGCTAATGACAAAATATTAGATACTTAGTATTTAATCAATATTGTTTGTTACTAATTGTGCTAGATAGTGCTTTGTCAGCATCTAGATAAAATATATTTGTTACTGGCTATTTTTTTTTTTTTTTTTTTTTGAGGTTTTTACTTTCAAATCGGGAAAACTATTTTTGAAAAAGGTCAGTGTAATTTGCCAAAATTTTGGATATACTGCAAATATTGAATTCAGGTCTATGTATCATCATGAACACAACTTCTTCAATTCATTATATTTAATTAAATTGTGATTAGGCATAATAGATGAAATATTGAATTTAAATTGAAAGACGTAATTCTTGACATATAAACACCCAAGCATAGCTTTTTGGGTCAGTTAAGTCAATCAAAACACTTAGCACTTAGTGCTAACCATCCCCCACATGATGCACAATTTACTTTAAAATTAAAGCAATTGGCTACAGATTTTTGTAAGTTTTATAAAGTTATAAATTTGCTGGAAATTACACAATTACATGTATATCAACAAAGACACCTTTAGGGGCAGAGAAATCAGTTTGTGAATTTCTATGCCCTGGTATTCTTGGGTCTTGGAGTTTATGGCCAAAAAAACAGTAAAAAAAAATAAGGTCATTTTATCAATCTTGATGTGCTGCAGGGTTTGATGTTAACATTTATAAGTAATAGACCAATCGGGCTACTTTCGATAATTTTTACTAACCCTGACCAAACTTGCAAATTTACTTCTTTTAATCAAGAATTTTAATGAGGTAACTTATGAAACCATATTTAAGAAAGACATTGTCTTTTGCGTGTGTCAATATTTTTGACAGACTGTTCGATAGTTCCCAGAGTTTGGTTCATCGGGATATTTGAGTTTTATAAGCCCTGAAGAACGTTAATTAATTAAATAAAATTTAATTAAATAAAATGATTATCATAAATATTAATAAATTTAAAACTGTACTATACGTAACCATTTTAACCATATTGATACTGAACGACAGTAGTGTCGACTGTGATTTGCCAATTACAGCCGTGGCTAAAAATAGCAATTGTGTTTTTCCCCTTCATACAGCGATAGCTATGGAGAAAGAAGAAAATTTCATTTAAAGTTATTAGATTATTTATTTGATCATTGAAATGGGACTTTAACAGTTATTTTATCAACATGACCAATCGGTTTAGTTCCCATACATTTTACACGACCGGACCACTCATTTACTAGACTAAGTGGGTCGGACGTGCCTTAGTGTCAAACCCTGTGCTGTCCAGTAATCATACAGCTTCTCGACTGAAATGATGAAGCAGATTTAACCCAATATTTGAAAGGGAGACAAAAATTTGGTCAAAGTTATGCAAACCATCTGCGTTAATGATTACACCTTAAGTCCCTTACCAATGTTATGAAATTTTATGAAGGATGAAGAGTTTTGGCCCCAAGGTGGTGCTAAGTTGACCTTTGATACAGTATGACCATCAAGGCTCAAGGGAACCTTGTTAGCTCACCTGAGCTTTTCTGATCACCCGTTGTCTGTCGTCTGTCCGTCCGTCTGTAAACTTTTCACATTTTCGACTTCTTCTGAAGAACCACTGGGCCAATTTTAACCGAACTTGGTACAAAGCATCCTTGGGTGAAGGGGAGTTTAAATTGTTAAAATGAAGGGCCAAGTCCCCTTCAAAGGGGAGATAATCAAGAAAATACCAAAATTGGGTGGGTCATTAAAAAATCTTCTCAAGAACCACTGGGCCAGAAAAGCTGAAACTTATGTGGAAGCATCCTAAGGTAGTGTAGATTCTAAATTGTTCAAATCATGACCCCCGGTGTTAGGGCAGGGCCACAATAGAGAATCCAAGTTTTACATTGAAATATATAGTAAAAATATTTAAAAACCTTCTTCTCAAGAACCACTGAGCCAGAAAAGCTGAAACTTATGTGGAAGCATCCTGTGGTAGTGTAGTTTCTAAATCGTTCAAATCATGACCCCCAGTGTCAGGGCAGGGCCACAATAGGGAATCCAAGTTTTACATTGAAATATATGGTAAAAATATTTAAAAACCTTCTTCTCAAGAACTACTGGACCAGAAAAGCTGAAACTTATGTGGAAGCATCCTGGGGTAGTATAGATTCTAAATTTTTCAAATCATGACCTCCGGGGGTAGGGCAGGCCACAATAGGGAATCCAAGTTTTACATTGAAATATGTAGTAAAAATCTTTAAAAATCTTCTTCTGAAGAACCACTGGGCCAGAAAAGCTGAAACTTATGTGGAAGCATTCTGGGATAGTGTAGATTCTAAATTGTTCAAATCATGACCCCTGGGGGTAGGGTAGGGCAACAAAAAGTACTTGGGGGGGGGAATCAGGTGAAAAACAGTTAGACCAAAGTTACTCAGGTGAGCGCTGTGGCCCATGGGCCTCTTGTTTAAAACTCATCATAGATATTTCTCAATGATACTGTGGTAATGGGTAGTTGAAATAGATAAGAACAGATTACCATGTTACATGTCAAATATAATTATTTCATCCTATTTGAAGAATATGTCCTTATAGGTGGCCAAGTTCAGACCATAAACTTGAATATAACTGATCTGCAGATTAAGTTCATATTTCAATTTACATTTTGTATATTTGCATACATGCATGTACATTTCAGTTAACTGCTCAATTTATTTGCATGGAATCTCTAACTGCATGTAGTTTTTTTTTTTAGGATTGTTCATGTTTCTTAGCTCTGTGGGTTAAGACCAGCAGAGCTTCATGCAATAGTAAAGTGTCTGTCATCCATCCCTCTAACTTTCTGTGGACATTTTTAGCTCACCTGAGCCAAAGGCTCAAGTGAGCTTTTCTGATCACATTTTGTCCGTCGTCCGTCCGTCTGTCCGTCCGTCTGTAAACTTTTCACATTTTTGACTTCTTCTCAAGAACCACTGGGCCAATTTTGACCAAACTTGGTACAAAGCATCCTTGGGTGAAGGGGAATTTAAATTGTTAAAATGAAGGGCCAAGTCCCCTCACAAGGGGAGATAATCAAGAGAAGACAAAAATAGGGTGGGGTCATTAAAAAATCTTCTTCTCAAGAACCACAGGGCCAGTAAAGCTGAAACTTATATGGAAGCATCCTGGGGTAGTGTAGATTCTAAATTGTTCAAATCATGACCCCCGGGGGTAGGGCGGGGCCACAATGTGGAATCAATGTTTTACATAGAAATATAGAAGAAAAATCTTTAAAAATCTTCTTCTCAAGAACCACAGGGCCAGAAAAGCTGAAACTAATGTGGAAGCATTCTGGGGTAGTGTAGATTTTAAATTGTTAAAATCATGACCCCCGGGGGTAGGGCGGGGCCACAATAGGGAATCCAAGTTTTACATTGAAATATATAGAAAAAATCTTTAAAAATCTTCTCAAGAACCATTGGGCCAGAAAAGCTGAAACTAATGCGGAAGCATCTTGGGGTAGTGTAGATTCTAAATTGTTAAAATCATGACCCCAGGGGGTAGGGCGGGGCCACAATGGGGAATCCAAGTTTTACATTGAAATATATAGAAAAAATCTTTAAAAATCTTCTTCTGAAGAACCCCTGGGCCAGAAAAGCTGAAACTAATGTGGAAGCATCTTGGGGTAGTGTAGATTCTAAATTGTTAAAATCATGACCCCCGGGGGTAGGGCGGGGCCACAATAGGGAATCCAAGTTTTACATTGAAATATATAGAAACAATCTTTAAAAATCTTCTTCTCAAGAACCACTGGGCCAGAAAAGCTGAAACTAATGTAGAAGTATCCTTGGGTAGTGTAGATATAAATTGTTAAAAGCATGACCCTCGGGGGTAGGGCGGGGCCACAATAGGGAATCCAAGTTTTACATTGAAATATATAGAAAAAATCTTAAAAAATCTTCTTCTCAAGAACCACTGGGCCAGAAAAGCTGAAACTAATGTAGAAGTATCCTTGGGTAGTGTAGATATAAATTGTTAAAAGCATGACCCTCGGGGGTAGGGCGGGGCCACAATAGGGAATCCAAGTTTTACATTGAAATATATAGAAAAAATCTTAAAAAATCTTCTTCTCAAGAACCACTGGGCCAGAAAAGCTGAAACTAATGTAGAAGTATCCTTGGGTAGTGTAGATTCTAAATTGTTAAAATCATGACCCCTGGGATAGGATGGGACCACAATAGGTGTATTACATGGGGGAAAGTCTGGTGAAGAACAGCAGGGCCAAAGTTACTCAGGTGAGCGTTGTGGCCCATGGGCCTCTTGTTTCAAAATGCTCTACTTCCTGTACCTCGTACAGTTTTGGTCCAATTCCATAAACGATAGTACACAAGTAGACTTCAAAATACATAATTGTCTTCATCAGTTTTTGATTTTTATGAATGGGATTGCCATGGCTATAAAAAAAAAGAAGAAATTTCTGTGAAATCTTTCAGATTACTACTCTTACAGAATTTTGACAGGTTTAAAAATAACTGCGCACATATTAAGACTAAACCAAAATACATATATATCTCCATTGGATTTAGTTTTGATTTCATTGAATGATCTTGACATGGTTACTATGGTAAAAACCAAATTTTATGGGAAATTCTTTCAAAAATGCTATTCCTCTCAGAGTTTAGTTTGACTTCATTCAAACTTGGTACACATCAAGAAAACTGAAAGATATATATATAGTCATTTAAGGTGACATGAAAGTTGCTCAAAGTTGTCTGGCTTCACTAAATTTTTGTCAGGTCTGTTGGAATTTATGCCAATTAAAATGTGAATGTATAAATGTTGATTTTCTCTCCATTAGAGGTTAAAACATCAAAGACATTTCATTTCACAAATGTTTCTTTTTTAAAATTCCTTTCAGGATCAATTTTACTTGATAAAAAAGTAATTTTAATTCATAAAAAAAATTCCTTTGTTTATTGCAGCTATTATAGAAGGCATTATTACAAGCGCTAAAGTACCACTAAAGAAAATACCAAAAATTAAGAAGAAGCCAATCACCACCTCTACCTCTTCACCAAAACATGAATCAACTCTATCATCACAGGAATTAAAGACAGATAAAGAATTAAACCTAAAGGGGACAGAAACACAACAGGAGGAGAGCAGAGAGACCACTGCTACTGATGAAACTGAGGAAGAGGAGCATTCAATGGAGATTGATAATGCCGAGTTAAATGGAGAAGCAGAGTTTGTTCTTATGAAGGAAGAGGAGGTTAATTCTTTGGAAGTGGGTAAACAGGCTATGACAACTGAAACTAAAAATGAAAGTAGTATGAATGATGGGCATCTTCGAAAGACTCCACCATTAGAAAATACTATGACTGTATTTTCTGAAATTCCCCAAGAAACTTCCTCTGTAGGAAGAAGTTCAACAATTTTATCACTTGGAGAAAGTGTTACAATATCCTCTGAAATTCCTGCAGAAGCTAAAGAGACTTCCTCATCAGGAGAAAATATATCAGATTCCTCAAAAATTACAAATGAAAAGTTTACAGCAGCCAATAATGAATCTGTTTTGTCAAAATCTGTAATGGTTATTGGTCATCCAAAGACAGCAGATCGTACTGAAGAGGATTTCTCCTCTGAGCAGTCAGAAGAAGTACCTTTGTCAACTAAACTAGGGAAGGAGAACGAATCCCAAGAGCTCGATGAAGAAAAACACTCAACAGAGATCGAGACAAAGGATGAACAATGCTCAACTGAGTTTGGGTCAAAGGAAACAAACTTTCAGCAGGATTCAGTTGATAAAACAGTGAATCCAGGTATCAAAAAGACAACTTTTAAGAAAAAGTCTAGGAAGATGGAAACAGACTTGCGTAATGTAATGAACAGCTTCATTTCAATACAGAGTGGAAAAGTTACAGAGAAGTCGGTTGACATCTGTTCTGAACAGAAACAATTAGGAGCCAATATGTTGCAGCCGGAAATACTGGGATGTGATGAAAATTCCAAAGAAAGCAGAACTGATGAGGCACATCAGCAGCTGGAGGACCTGCTGGATCTAGAGATTGGCCGCAATGTTCATACAGTGGAAGAAGCACATTACGCAACATCTGAGCAAAATCTTGTTTCAGGAATCACAAAATCAGCTGGATCATTGGGAAATCTTTCTTTAACACTAACAGTGGACAAATCTGCCAGTCGTCAAATTTCACAAAGCAACGATTCTAAAAATGCCATGAGTTCTTCAAGTACAGCTTCAGCTTCAAATCAGAAAGATAAAAACAAAGACGAGGATTTTTTATCATCTCATACCAAGTCAAAAATGTTCAGTGCCATTTTCAATGAAACTATCCACCCCCGTCTGGATGCAGATATTGCTTGTGGTCAGAGGAATGATGAACAATCTGGAGGTGAAGATGACTTTGAACCAGATCCAGACAGGGTTGTTCAGGTTCCACCTGATGACCAGGGTTTTAAGATTACAGTCACCAATGATATTCCAGTATGTTCCAAGTTCCAGTGGATTTCTAAAGAACAGCTTATTAAGGACAGTATCCATGGGTAAGCTACTCTTAAGAATAGATCAGTCATAAGGCTGACTGAAATTAATTCTAAGTTTAACATCACCTAAAACTTCAAACTGAGGAGGATGGGAGAAAAAAATTAAAACAATTAAAAATTTCAAACAAATGAGTACTCATTTACAAGGATCAAAATATTGTGAATATTTGTGCATCATGCAGACATACTGTTTAATAATCATTTTTAGCTCTTCTGAGCCAAAGGCTCAAAGAGCTAATGCTATGGCCATTTGTGCGGTGTGTGGTGTGCTTGAACTTTTTAGAATATGGGCCATAACTCAAGAACCCCTTGGCCAATTATTGTCAAATTTGTCACAGGGTATCCTTGGCCCAAGGGCTCCCTTTCATACTAAAACTAGGGTTGTTACCCTTAAACAAGGGGAGATGATTAGGAAAATAGAAACAAAAGTACTGGTTGTTAAAAAACCTTCTCAAGAACCACTGGGCAGATTATCACCAAACTTACATAAAAGAATGAGGATATGTTGTAGATTAAAATTTGCACAGGGATTTACCCTGGGGCAAAGGGCGTGGTCTCAAGGTCACTTCAAAGTTGACCAAAAATTACATTTTATTAACATGTTGATATTTTGCTTACTATAAGGACTAGGATCATCAAATCTTGTCAGTTGATGCATCTAAGGACCTCATATCATGTTGACTCAAAAGTAAGTCACGGTGACCTACTTTTCAAATTTTGGGGCCATTCTTTTTCAAAATGATTTAGAGGCATATTTTGAACAATTTAAGGCCTATGATCATCAAACTTTGTCAGTTGATGTATCTTGGGTCCTCAAAGTATGTCAACTGAAAAGTAGGTCACCTTGACCTACTTTTTGAACTTTATGGGTAATCTTTTTCAAAACAATTAAGGTCATTAATTCGATACCGAAAGGTTTAGAATCATTAAATCTTGTAAGATGATGCCTCTTGGGGCCATAAAACATTTATTAAAAAGTAGGTCACTTTAACCTACTTTTTACCTACTTTTTGAACTTTGCAGGCATTCGATTTCAAAGCATTTTTAGCTCTTCTGAGCCAAAGGCTCAAAGAGCTAATGCTATGGCCATTTGTGCGGTGTGCGGCGTGCGGTGTGCGTAAACTTTTTAGAATATGGGCCATAACTCAAGAACCCCTTGGCCAATTATTGTCAAATTTGTCACAGGGTATCCTTGGCCCAAGGGCTCCCTTTTATACTAAAACTAGGGTTGTGACCCTTTAACAAGGGGAGATAATTAGGAAAATAGAAACAAAAGTACTGGTTGCTAAAAAATCTTCTTCTCAAGAACCACTGGGCAGATTATCACCAAACTTACACAAAAGGATGAGGATATGTTGTAGATTAAAATTTGCACAGGGATTTACCCTGGGGCAAAGGGCGTGGTCTCAAGGTCACTTCAAAGTTGACCAAAAATTACATTTTATTAAAATGTTGATATTTTGCTTACTATAAGGACTAGGATCATCAAATCTTGTCAGTTGATGCATCTATGGACCTCATATCATGTTGACTCAAAAGTAAGTCACGGTAACCTACTTTTTAAATTTTGGGGCCATTCTTTTTCAAAATGATTTAGAGGCATATTTTGAACAATTTAAGGCCTATGATCATCAAACCTTGTCAGTTGATGTATCTTGGATCCTTGAAGTACGTCAACTAAAAAATAGGTCACCTTGACCTACTTTTTGAATTTTATGGCTAATCTTTTTCAAAACAATTAAGGCCATTAATTCCAATACCAAAAGGTTTAGAATAATTAAAACTTGTAAGATGATGCATCTTGGGGCCATTAAACATATTTAGTAAAAAGTAGGTCACAGTGACCTACTTTTTGAACTTTGCAGGCATTCGATTTCAAAGAATTTTAGAGGCATAATTTAGACATTTTGAAACCTATGATCATAAAACTTTGTAAGTTGATGCATCTTGGGTCCTCAAAAAACATCAACTGAAAAGTAGGTCACCATGACCTACTTTTCAATTTATATGACTATAATTAAATATTTCAGGTACTAATTGACTTAGAATCATCAAACTTTGTCAGTTGATGCATCTTGGGTGTTCGGAGTAGGTCGACTGAAAAGTAGGTCACCATGACGTACTTTTGAAAATTTATGGCTTTAATTAAATATTTCAGGTACTTATTGGCTTAGAATCATCAAACTTTGTCATTTGATGCATCTTGGGTCTTCTGAGTATGACAACTGAAAAGTAGGTCACAGTGACCTACTTTTGAAAATTTATGGCTTTAATTAAATATTTCAGGTACTTATTGGCTTAGAATCATCAAACTTTGTCAGTTGATGCATCTTGGGTCCTTGGAGTACGACAACTGAAAAGTAGGTCACGGTGACCTAGTTTTGAAATTTTATGGCTGTATTTAATATTTTTCGGGTACTATTTGGCTTAGAATCATCAAAATTTGTCAGTTGATGCATCTTGGGTCCTCGGAGTAGGTTGACTGAAAAGTAGGTCACCGTGACCTACTTTTGAAAATTTATGACTTCAATCAAATATTTTGGGTACTGATTGGCTTAGAATCATCAAACTTTGTCAGTCGATGTATCTTGGGTCTTCAGAGTGCAACAACTGAAAAGTAGGTCACTGTGACCTACTTTTGAAAATTTATGGCTTTAATTAAATATTTCAGGTACTTATTGGCTTAGAATCATCAAACTTTGTCAGTTGATGCATCTTGGGTCCTTGGAGTACGACAACTGAAAAGTAGGTCACGGTGACCTAATTTTGAAATTTTATGGCTGTATTTAATATTTTTCGGGTACGTTTTGGCTTAGAATCATCAAAATTTGTCAGTTGATGCATCTTGGGTCCTCGGAGTAGGTTGACTGAAAAATAGGTCACCGTGACCTACTTTTGAAAATTTATGACTTCAGTCAAATATTTTGGGTACTAATTGGCTTAGAATCATCAAACTTTGTCAGTCGATGTATCTTGGGTCTTCAGAGTGCAACAACTGAAAAGTAGGTCACTGTGACCTACTTTTCAAAATTTATGGCTTTAATTAAATATTTCAAGTACTAATTGGCTTAGAATCATCAAACTTTGTCAGTTGATGCATCTTGGGTCCTTGGAGTACAACTGAAAAGTAGGTCACTTTGACCTACTTATAAAATTTTATGGTTATAATTTAAAAAAAAACATTTTAGGTATTAATTGGCTTAGAATCATTAAACTTAGTTAATGGGTCCTCAGAGAATGACAAGTGATAAAGCAGGTCACCATGACCAACTCTCAGGTACTAATTGGCTTAGAATCATCTTGGGTTCTCAGAATGTGAACTGGAATTTCAAGGGTTTATCTAAATATAAAAGATACTTAGAGGCTTCAAATAGAAGTGATAGGTTGTACAGTTTATCAGAAGAGCGATTCAAGGTCCTTGGGCCTCTTGTAAAGGCATAATTTGGACATTTTAAGGCCTATGATCATTAAACTTCGTAAGTTTATACATCTTGGGTCCTCAAAAAAGGTCAACTGAAAAGAAGGTCACCGTAACCTACTTTTCAATTTATATGACTATAATTAAATATTTCAAGTACTAATTGGCTTAGAATCATCAAACTTTGTCAGTTGATGCATCTTGGGTCCTCGGAGTACAACAACTGAAAAATAGGTCACCGTGACCTACTTTTGAAAATTTATGGCTTTAATTAAATATTTTTGGGTACTTATTGGCTTAGAATCATCAAACTTTGTCAGTTGATGCATCTTGGGTCCTTGGAGTACGACAACTGAAATGTAGGCCACTTTGACCTACTTTTGAAATTTTATGGCTGTATTTAATATTTTCGGTACTATTTGGCTTTGAATCGTCAAAATTTGTCAGTTGATGCATCTTGGGTCCTCGGAGTAGGTTGACTGAAAAGTAGGTCACTGTGACCTACTCTTGAAAATTTATGGCTTTAATTAAATATTTCAGGTATTAATTGGATTAGAATCATCAAACTTTGTCAGTTGATGCATCTTGGGTCCTTGGAGTACAACAACTGAAAAGTAGGTCACTTTGACCTACTTATAAAATTTTATGGTTATAATTTAAAAAAAAACATTTTAGGTATTAATTGGCTTAGAATCATTAAACTTAGTTAATGGGTCCTCAGAGAATGACAAGTGATAAAGCAGGTCACCATGACCAACTCTCAGGTACTAATTGGCTTAGAATCATCTTGGGTTCTCAGAATGTGAACTGGAATTTCAAGGGTTTATCTAAATATAAAAGATACTTAGAGGCTTCAAATAGAAGTGATAGGTTGTACAGTTTATCAGAAGAGCGATTCAAGGTCCTTGGGCCTCTTGTAAAGGCATAATTTGGACATTTTAAGGCCTATGATCATTAAACTTCGTAAGTTTATACATCTTGGGTCCTCAAAAAAGGTCAACTGAAAAGAAGGTCACCGTAACCTACTTTTCAATTTATATGACTATAATTAAATATTTCAAGTACTAATTGGCTTAGAATCATCAAACTTTGTCAGTTGATGCATCTTGGGTCCTCGGAGTACAACAACTGAAAAATAGGTCACCGTGACCTACTTTTGAAAATTTATGGCTTTAATTAAATATTTTTGGGTACTTATTGGCTTAGAATCATCAAACTTTGTCAGTTGATGCATCTTGGGTCCTTGGAGTACGACAACTGAAATGTAGGCCACTTTGACCTACTTTTGAAATTTTATGGCTGTATTTAATATTTTCGGTACTATTTGGCTTTGAATCGTCAAAATTTGTCAGTTGATGCATCTTGGGTCCTCGGAGTAGGTTGACTGAAAAGTAGGTCACTGTGACCTACTCTTGAAAATTTATGGCTTTAATTAAATATTTCAGGTATTAATTGGATTAGAATCATCAAACTTTGTCAGTTGATGCATCTTGGGTCCTTGGAGTACAACAACTGAAAAGTAGGTCACTTTGACCTACTTATAAAATTTTATGGTTATAATTTAAAAAAATATTTTAGATATTAATTGGCTTAGAATCATCAAACTTAGTTGATGGGTCCTCAAAAATGACAAGTGATAAGTAGGTCACCATGACCAACTCTCAGGTACTAATTGGCTTAGAATCATCTTGGGTTCTCAGAATGTGAATTGGAATTTCAAGGGTTTATCTAAATATACAGGATACTTAGAGGCTTCAAATAGAAGTGATAGGTTGTACAGTTTATCAGAAGAGCGATTCAAGGCCCTTGGGCCTCTTGTTAGTTAATCTGTCGAGTCTTAGACTCATACCAAATATACCTCAAACAGGGCACTGATATTGTCTATTTCTACAGAATGCAGTTCTTAGTTACTGAAAGTAAAAGAAAACCAGAATAGAAACTTCTTAAAAAAATATCAATTTGTATTTTCTAAGTGTTAATTTATCGAAAACATAGGGAAGGGTGACTTTAAGCATAAAATTATCTTAAGACAGCCTAAATGAGAATTCAGTTATTTAAATGTCATTCAACAAGAATTATTGCTTTATAAATGTGTCAGGGTATCAAAAGATACAGAGTAAAAGCACTGAAATACATATGACAGTAAAGTATACTATAATTGAGTTACAATTTATACCATAGTTGATAAAAAAACAATGCAGATCTTCAGTTTTGATTGGAACAAAGAAATACCTTTATAGGGTTAAAAATGTTGCTGTTCAATGAATTTATAGTTTAAAGTACAGTATTTTTAATGAGAAAAATTTATTGAAAAGCGTTAAAGCAGGTTTTTGCCATAAGACAGTATAGGTGCTTTTAAATGAATGATAAATGTCTACAGATTGAGAAATACACATACTTAATAAGATGATTTTTTCTTCACAGAAAACATAACTCTCCGTTGAGTTTGAAGGATGTTTACTTGATAAATGCTGTCAGTGCTGTAGTACACAAGAGTTTACCACAGACGGGAACACATCATAGGACTATTTCATCTGGTCAGCAGTCTGATGATAGTGAAACTCTGGATAACAGAGGTCGAAATGGTGATACCTCACTTGATGATGAGAACGTATTAAATAACTTTGAGGAGGAAACATTCAAGCTCGAGAAATCACCAGATAAGTATGAATACTTGGCTGAAAGACAAGAGAGGCCAGAGAATGAATCAGGAATTGTAAAATCAGAAATGGAGAGAATTTTGAATATGGTTAAGTTCCAGCTGGAGGAAAGTAATGATGGAACCTCAGTCAGTTCACTGTCGTCTTCTCAAACTTCATTTAAATCACTGTCTGCCTCACAAAATTCTCAGGACAATTTTGAAAAAGTCCTTTCTGATCAGCTGAATTCCATCTCACAAGGACTTGACCTTCTAATGCAGTGTAATAGCAATTCTCTTAGTTTTATCAGTCCCGATGAGGGAAAGGAATTAAATAATGTCATAGAGAACACTATGAAAACACTCGAAGCATCAATGCAAGAACAAAGTGCGGATTCTGATAAGAAAGAAAGCTCTGAATCTAAAACCTCTGAAGCGGAAACAACCAAAGATAAATCTAGACTGCAGAAGAGGCCAGATGTGAAGAATCAGTTCGATGTTGCTGAAGTAAACAAACATGTTGAATCCAGTGGTTCAAGTACAGATGAATTGAGACAAAAAGATGATTGCAATGTTGCTTTGACTACTGAAGTCAGGAGTCCATCCAGTAAAGAATCTTCACCCAAAGTGCATTTTGACAGCAATACAACAAGTGTTTCAGAAGTTAACACAAATCAGCCTACTGATGAGACAGCATTTTGGTCCAAAATATTGGGATTTTCTTCCCAAGAAAATAAAATTCTTCCCACGTTTTCAACACCTCCAAAGAAAGAAGAAAAACTGAATAAAGATTCTGAGGAGAGTGAACTCAAAGAAAATGTCATTATTATATCTGATTCTCCAGATTCCAATCAAAAAGGGAAAAATGCTGAGGCAGGAAGTTCTGAAAAACTAGAGGATAGTACCATAATGATAATGGACTCCTCTCCAGAATCAAATCAGAAAGATGGGAGCAGTGGACACAAGGGTCTTGAGAATAGGATAAGGGACAAAGATAATGACGGAACTGAGGAAAGTTTAAGTTCTGAAGTGGAAGGGTTGTCTTCTGAGATGTCAACAGTGTCCCCAGCTAGGGTTGAAAATGACAAGGAAGTACCAAAAGTTCGTAAAGCTTTTATTTCACCCATAAGATTTCCAGATCAGACTGAAAATACCAAGAATAAGGAATTGAAGAATGATGAGAATACTACCACAAGCAGGAACATCATTGATGATAATAACAATGCTAAAACATCAAACAATATAGAGACGAATTCAAAGATAAAGAATGAATCAGAAACTAAAAATAAAGTTCCAGAAATTAAGATAGAGCCTGCAAATGCTGAAAGCAAGAAAGTGGAACAAAATGTGACAATAAAATTGGAAAAGGCGCCTCTTCTGAATCTGGGTCTGACAGATGCCAGTAGACTACGGGAGAAAACCCCACCTATCGGTGTCTCTATGTCAACAAAAAGAGTTTCTCCACAAGAAAAGACTCTAACTGTCATTATTCCCGAGAATAAGAAAAAGCTGACTGCACAAAGACAGTCCCCAACAGTGTCAGTCAAGACAGAGACTAAAAGGAATGATTCTCCACGGCATTCCCCAGCATTAAGGAATGAAGAGGAGAATGTGAGAGGGGTATCCCCTGTTACGGAGACAAGAACAGTACAGTTTAAAAGCATAGAAAAGAAGGATGTTTTCTCAAGGCTATCTCCACAAATAAGAGATGAGGAAAAGAAAGAAAAAAGTGTTTCTCTTGGTAGTGAAGTTGAGACTACTCTACCTGATCAAGAGGAAGTTCAGTCAACAATTAAAGTGGAGAAAGCTGCAGAGACGCAAGCAGGGAAGGATGATATGGTTGTGGTTACAGTCAACAAGGAGAATCCAAGGTCAAGCAAATCCAGGTCAAGGTCACCAGTTACAAGAGGAATTCCGTCAAGTTACAAACCACCTCCCTCCTCTGCTAATGCTGAACCAATGTCAAAGGTATAGATAAAGTGTTTAAATGTCTTTACTGCATTCAGAAGCAAATGTGGTTGCAGATACATTTCCCAAATAATGATATTTTAATTTTAACGCTAGGATATCCTTATACGAAAGGACAATTTGATTTTTGAAAGAGTCGGGATTTTGTTAAATAATGAAAGTTCAATTTATTTTAGGCAGGACCAATAAGAAATGAGGTCAAGGCCAAGAGGGATGAACGTCAGTATCACCCATACAGGAAAGAAAAAGCCAAGAAAAAGAACACATGGTCTTTTGACATTGCATACGAGTATGTGGACTTTAAAGAATTATTTAACCAATGGAGGATTCATTTAAAATAATTATTGTATTATTAGAATACTATAATAAAATGAAATGATGAAGGAAAAAAAAGTATGATAAACCTTTGTGACTTCTTGTCCTACAATTTGAGAAAAGTGTGTTTAAGTAAAAGAATTATTTTGATTCTCTAGCTCACTAAGGGAGTTGATGCATGATTTGACGGTTTGTTCCTACAAAAAACAGAAGCACAAAGCAAGGCATAGGAGGACAAATTCCAGATTTGCCAACTACACCTTTGTAAGGTCAAAAGTACCAGACTCCTTGCCTGGAGGGTATGATTATTTATTATTGATATGCACATGTATTTAATAATAAACACAACACAAGATTCATTTTATGGGATTCTGATGATGGCATTATAATCTTGTTCTTAAAAAATTTTATAGCTGAATGCAAGATTTCAATGTCTTTTAGCATGGATATGGTGTTTTGCAAAAACTATATAAAATGTCAACCTGCAGTGCTCTATAACTAATAAACGAACCACTACGCAGTACAGTTAAGGTGCCAAATGGAAGTATCAGCGAATTTTATAGATAGAAAATACATTCTTTACAAGGATGGGTGATTATTTTTAGGACTTTACTATTATCGGACAAATGCAATGTGGTTGAAAAATACATGTTGAGGACAGACTTGTCACGTGATGTGGCACTCACGGGATTTTAGCAAATATACCTGCATCTATGAATTCCAATATTGCAAGGGCATAACCAAGTTAAAAATCTCAGTTTAATTTATAATTATTTTTAACACTCTTTGTAGTTTGTGAATAGTGCTGCGAACCTATATAGATTCCACTATCTAATTGTGAAAATTATGTTTGTTAGACGGTATGTTGAATATTTTGCTGGTCAATTACATTAAATATAGATATAATTAATTCATTTGCAATATTTCATCAGGTTTGCAGCACTTTTCAGATATCTTCATACTTCTTGAGTTTATGTGTAAAAGCATGCCATAATTCACTGAGGGTATGCCCTTGCAAAATATTGATTTATTACGACCCCGCTTGTCTAGGGAATGTACGGGAAGGATATGAATAAAATCAAAAAATGGACATCGCATCCAAGTTAATGGCCTCTTATATATCTTCAAATAATTATTTAATTACAAAATACATTTTTCATTGTATAGAAGATAACTTGATCCGCCTCTCACTGCATACAAACTGCATCAAATTTTACGATATGACGTCACATTGACAAGTGCATTGCGATCATTGAATTGTTTATATATTGCTGTGTGGGATTTAACCAGCGACAATAATGCATGCACTAGTTAGTATTGATATAGTTTAAAGCTATTTAACAGTTTAAAATAGCAAATCATTTCACTTTGTGGTAATTTGAAGAACTTGTATTTTTGTATGATATCATAGTAATCATTTCCTGTATAAATTAGGCCCCGCCTCCTTATTGTAGCCTTAACTGTGCTGTGTATGATAGTGAATCCCTCAGTTATATGAAATTTCTCTAGTGTCATATTCTGTTTATAAGAAAATCAGATTTTATTAAAAGATTTTTAGCTCACCTGAGCCAAAGGCTCAAGTGAGCTTTTCTGATCAAAATTTGTCCGTTGTCTGTCATCGTCGTTGTTGTAAACTTTTCACATTTTCATCTTCTTCTCAAGAACCACTAGGGGAATTTCAACCAAACTTGCCACAAAGTATCCTTGGGTAAAGGAGATTCAAGTTTGTTCAAATGAAGGGCCACGCCTTCTTCCAAGGGGAGATAATTAAGAATTAGTGAAAAATTAATGGCATCATTAAAAAATCTTCTTCTCAAGAACCACTGTGCTTGAAAATATGAAACTGATGTGGAAGCATCATCAGGTAGTGTAGATTCAAGTTTGTTCAAATCATGACCCCTGGGGGTCGGGTGGGGCCACAATGGGCGATCAAAGTTTTACATAGGAATATATAGGAAAAATCTTTAAAAATCTTCTTCTCAAGAAGAGCAAAGCCATGATTGGTCATATTTATGTGGTAGCATCCACAGATAGTGTAGATTCAAGTTTATTCAAATCGTGACCCCTTGGGGTCTGGTGGGGCCACAATGGGCGATCAAAGTTTTACATAGGAATATATAGGAAAAATCTTTAAAAATCTTCTTCTCAAGAAGAGCAAAGCCATGATTGGTCATATTTATATGGTAGCATCCTCAGATAGTGTAGATTCAAGTTTGTTCAAATCGTGACCCCCGGGGGTCGGGTGGGGCCACAATGGGCGATCAAAGTTTTACATAGGAATATATAGGAAAAATCTTTAAAAATCTTCTTCTCAAGAACAGCAAAGCCATGATTGGTCATATTTACATGGAAGCATCTTCAGATAGTGTACATTCAAGTTTGTTCAAATCATGACCCCCGGGGTCGGGTGGGGCCACAATGGGCGATCAAAGTTTTACATAGGAATATATAGGAAAAAATCTTTAAAAATCTTCTTCTCAAGAACAGCAATGCCATGATTGGTCATATTTATATGGTAGCTGCAATAATGTAGCCCTCTCCCGATTTTTTTTTTTTTTTTTTTTTGGGAGAGGGCTACAACTCCTAAGGATCTCCGTAATGGTGCAAGTGCGGGAGTGATTCACTACCGCACAGATTTCGGCTCAAATTATCAGTAAATGGGTATTTTATTAACATTTCTTACCTGAACTCATAAAATGTAGTCATGCAAGACATGAATTGATCCAAAAATATACAGAACAATCCGTATATCGGTTATTTTTCGTGTATGTCAACATCACAACTTGAATTTATCTGCCATGTTTACTGACCTTGATCGATTTTATTTTGGGACAACCAATGAGAAATCGGGATCTAGGGGAGCGGATCGTTTAGGATTTCCCTTATTTTAAGCATAAATATCACTGTTTATGAAAAAAAATCACATGGAATGCTTTTATTTATCGATGTTTTAGTGATATCATACCACACAAACATTTATCAACACCGACATTTACTTTATCAAGTGATTCTAAAATTCAAGCGCAAGTCTCTGTACATCACGCGAGAACTGTCATGGCTGCTGAAAAGATCGACTGGTAAACACGCAGATTTATTTTACTTGGTTTTCGCTCATAAAGGGCTATGATGTTGATAGTGAATAAAAATTCCGTCTTATTGGAAGTAAGTTGAATGCAAAAACAATTTATTTTGCCTGCAGTCGCCCGTATCTAAAAAATATATTTGCACCATTACGGAGATGCAGTGGAATTGTAGCCCTCTCCAGAAAATAGCAGATTAAAAAAATCGGAGAGGGCTACATTATTGCAGCTAATTTATATGGTAGCATCCTCTGGTAGTGTAGATTCAAATTTGTTCAAATCATGACCCCCAGGGGTAGGGTAGGTCCACAATGGGCGATCAGAGTTTTACATAGGAATATACTGTATAGGGGGAAAATAACTCGCGGTGTTAATATTCGCTATATTCACGGTGTTAAGAAATCTGTGAATTCAAGAAACAGTGAATAAGTTTTCAATAACCTCCATGTTATATTTGGAAATTTGAGAATACACTACGATAGGTATACATGTACATGTATATACGTATATTACATGGTCATTACAGTAATTACGAGTCGCACTTGTCATTCAATTATTTTAATTATCACGCTTTACTTTAATTTAGATCAGCAGATAATAAACCTGTATTTTTAATAGCCCACGCTACATCAATCAAAACACATGGGTCATGGTTTTGATTACCCGTGCATAACTATATGACCACATGTATTTGTTACCTGCATTATCATGCGTATTAGTTTATATCGACATTTTGTTTTTAAAAAATCATTCAAATAACTTTTGAACTTGCTGAAGATGTGGAAGGATATTATTTCTTCGACCTACAGTAACACATTTCTTACCGTCCAGTGGTTTTTCGCCGTGATGTATTATCCCTTCGGAAAGAAGATCTTGGGGTGGACAAGGAAGGTAATTTTTATTAAATACCGATTCCGCGAATTCAACAAACCGTGATCGTGTCAGAGGAGAGAAAACCGTGAAAATTACAACCCGTGAAATTAATCCCCTGTACAGTATAGGAAAAATCTTTAAAAATCTTCTTCTCAAGAACAGCAAAGCCATGATTGGTCATATTTATATGGTAGCATCCACAGATAGTGTAGATTCAAGTTTATTCAAATCGTGACCCCCTGGGGTCTGGTGGGGCCACAATGGGCGATCAAAGTTTTACATAGGAATATATAGGAAAAATCTTTAAAAATCTTCTTCTCAAGAAGAGCAAAGCCATGATTGGTCATATTTACAAGGAAGCAATCTCAGATAGTGTAGATTCAAATTTGTTCAAATCATGACCCCCGGGGATAGGGTGGGGCCACAGTGGGTGATCAAAGTTTTACATAGGAACACGTAATAAAAATCTTTAAAAAAAAACTATTTCTTAAGAACAGCAAAGCCATGATATGCATATTCATATGGAAGCATTCTTAGATAGTGTACGTTCAAGTTTGTTCAAACATGACCCCTTGGGGTCGGGTGGGGCCACAATGGGTGATCAAAGTTTTACATAGGAATACATAGGTTAAATCTTTAAAAATCTTCTACTCAAGAACAGCAAAGCCATGATTGGTCATATTTAAATGGAAGCATCCTCAGATAATGTAGATTCAAATTTGTTCAATTCATGACCCCCCCCCCCCCCAACTTTTATATTTAAACTTTTCAACCTTTCAAGACTGAACTGATTTCTGCTTTTTTCTAGCCATAGTGCTCAGGTGAGCGATGTGGCCCCTGGGCCTCTTGTATTATTTCATATAGCTATGAAAATGTTATAATAGTTTTTTATACAAGTTTTTTTTTTTTTGGAAAAGGGGAGTGGGATGGGGGAGGAGGACAAATTCTTTATGTTGATTACACCCCTGTAAACGAAGTTTGGTGGGTATATAGGAATCACCTTGTCCGTCTGTCCATGCAATCTTGTCTGGGCTTTAACTTCGTACTGGAGAATCACTAGAAGCTCATATTTGGTAAAAAGATTGCTTATAATCCAAGAATGTGTTATGACCTTGACACAAGGTCATTCTGGCAAGTTCAAGGTCACTGGCAGAAAAAAGTGTAAAATTCTTGTCTGAGCTACAACTTTGATTTTGTAATGGGGAACCACTGGAAGCTCATACTTGGTACAAAGATTGCTTATGACCTTGACCCTAAACCATTCTAGCAAGTTCAAGATCACTAGCGGAAACAATATATAAAGTCACTGAAAGCTCATACTTGGTACAGAAATTGCTAATGATCAAAGGGTGTGTCTTGACCTTAAGGTCAATCTTGAAAGTTCATCACTGGAAGAAAAATTATAAATATATCTTTGTAACGGAGGATCATTTGAAGCTTGAACTTGGTACAGAGATTGTTAATCCATGGTTACCAAATTTTGCAATTTATTTTTGGCTTTTCCCAAAGCTAGTATGTAAACTTGAAAATGTTACTTAGTTACATTATGATTCTGTCCTCTACTTTCTAGCATTAGCAATGCTGATGAGGAGGTTATAGATGATGATTTCAATGAGAATGCTATCCCTGATTTTGAGGAGAGGAAGAGGAAAGCTGACTTGGTAGATGAACTGACAATGAGGGAACAAGAAGAGGGAGACTATACAACAGAAAGAGCAGTTTACATCATGGAGGAACAGGTGAGCCAGAGGGGACATGTGGACATTTTCTGTGATGTAGATAATTGCTGCTCAGTGTTAAACATGATCAACATGCTCATTACTGTCTCAAGGAGCATCCTTGTCAAGGAAAGAGAAAAGCATAGTATAAGACAGTAATTCTTAAATTATAAATATTATTTTGATACTGTAAACCCTAATTATGGTTATCCTGAATATTACTGTGATAATTTGAACATGAGCCATGGTTATTCTAATAAATATTACTTTGATAATCTGAACACTAGTCATGGTTATTCTAAATATTACTTTGATATTGTGAACACTAACTATAACTGACCTCTAGGAGCAGCCTGATCAGGAAGAAGAGAAGAATGAGGAGGCAGAGAAGAAGAGGATCCCTAAAATGCTGGCTAATCTCCCTGTGAGAACTGTAACAACTTCATCACCAGGTATCCCAGGTACTTTTGCAGTTACTGAACAGTGTTTTCATTATATCAGTTTTACATGTTATAGGAATTACAAGACATCCTCCTATATGTGTTACTGCAAGCAGTGTAATGAAATATTTTGATGATTGAATGACAGGCACAGTTTGCTACTCAAACCCACTGATATTTTGGCCAGAGATGGAAACATATTCATCCAATTTACACACATAAAGGGAACTTGCTGCTTTGTCTGTATATAAGCATCTTTACAAGTCTGGTGTTTGTGATCTGCTACACCCATAATAAACCCTTGGCCTTTTGTGTCATTTGAAATTCAGGATTATATAAATGTGAAGTGACCACCTCTATACTATAAGGTTCTTTGCAGACAAAATAAGAGCATTTTAAGTTTCAAGATTTTAAAGAATATTCAACAAGCAGAGATCAAGGTTTTTTGTTTGTTTGTTGTTTAACGTCCCTCTCGAGAATTTTTCACTCGTGGAGATGCCGCAATGATTATTTGACTATTTCTTAAAGGTAGACATCAAGTCACTTTATATCCACATCAACTAAGATGATGCATTTTCTGTTTTTAGAATGGCTTTCTTTTGCTAATTCTACTGATATCAGAAATAAATTGATCAGTTTCTAGAATTGTTATGCCATTTTGTTTATAGGTAAAGAATGCAAACCAGACATAAGCAAGATGGATACCAAGCCTGTATTAACGGATGTTAGACGATCAGATACCAGGTCCATTATTTTTAAGTCGGAAGGTTCATCAGAAATGAGGAAGGTAGAGACTGTGGAGAAAACGCCTTCAGAGGATGACAGAGCTGATGATTCAGATCCAAAGATAAATTCAGATGAGGAAATCAAATCGGAAATTAAAGAACAAGTCAGTAATAAGGGTTAGTTTTTCTTAAGCTAGTTCAAAAGTTGTTACACATCGATAACCTGATTCAAATTCACTCAAACTGTAGTAAGCTAAAAAAAATTATGTCAAAGAGAATATGCATGTATGACAGAGTATATTTGTTCTTTCCAGAGGAAAAACTGAATTCAACCATGTTGGAGATTAAAAGTGAAACCATGGAAGTGGAAGATAATGACAGTGAAAATTTTAGGGTTAACTTTGTAAATTCATATAATGAAGCCCCGGATGATGAGGGGGAGACAGAAATGGAGGGTTTTAACGACTGGATTGTGATTGATGAAGCTCCAGATATAGAAGAATTAGATGTAATATCTGAAGTTCCTGCTGATGCAAGGGAAAACACAGCAGATGTTCTCATTGATGTGGGGGAAAATACTGCAGATGTTCCAACTGTTGTGGAGGAAAAAGACACAGATATTCCCACTGATGTTGGGGAAGTTCCCATTGACGTAGGGAAAAAAGATGCAGATTTTAAACAAATTTGTGAAAGTAGTGCAAATTGTAGTGTAGACATAGACCATGATATAACTATTGATTCAAAAGAGAAATTTGATATGCTATGTATAAAATACACCACTGAACAAACCAATGCACACAATGTAGAAGAAAGAATTTATCCTGATATAAATGATTCTGAGGCTTGTTCAGAGAATTCTAGAGGAAATCAGAGTAGGACAACAGACCTTAATACCAGTCTGAACAGAACAGTATCAGATGTTCAGGATATGAGTATCTCGGAAGACGAAGCCATTTCTAAACAGAACAAGGAAAATGACCAGTACATCCCTGTTATTCATCTACTGGGTGTAAAAGGAAATACCTTCTGGTGCAAAAATAAAAGTAGTGTGGGTAATGAAAAAGAAGTACTAAGCAAGGATGGGGGGTATACAAATGACACAATGGAAGTCAAAGAATGTGTTGCTATTAGTCCAGTGAAATTTAAATCTCCAGATGACTTTAAAAAGATTGAGGAGAAAGTGCCACCAATTTCTGAAAAATATGATCCAAAAGGAAAGGACTTTGGAAATTGTGAAGACAATTGTATTACTGAAAATCTGAGCGACTGTGACAATAGAGTTAATGAGGATGAACTTCCAGCAAAGCCAGAAAAGGGAGAAAATGGTCAGAATCAAATAGAGGTTGAACCTACAGCAAAACCAGCAAAGGGAGAAAATGGCCAGAGTCAAATAGAGGGTGAACCTACAGCAAAACCAGAAAAGGGAGAAAATAGTCAGAATCAAAGAGAGGATGAACCTACAGAAAAGGGAGAAAATGGTCAGAATCAAGGAGAGGGTGAACCTACAACAAAGCCAGCAAAGGAAGAAAATGGCCAGAGTCAAATAGAGGGTGATCTAAAAAATGAATCCAGAAAGGAAGAAATGGTGAACAGTGTTTTAGCATTGCCATTGTCAGTATCCACAAACCCTGCAAAATCAGCTTCTGAAACGTCTAAAACTGAAGAACACACTTGTATGTTCACTGAAACAGAGAATGAGAACAAGTATACTTATTGTGAAAAACTTGCTTCTTCAAATGTACACATTAGAGACAGTAAAACAGAAATCAACAATGTATGTAATGGGCATGCTGAGAACAACATGCTTGAAAATGTTAAAAATATGGTTGACAGTGGAGATGAGTCTGAAAACCCTGTTCCTTCCAATTTACACACAACAGAAATGGACAGTTTACCTATTGAGGATGCAGAGACCAACATTCTTGAAAATGTTAAAGAAATAGTTAACAGTAGAGATGGGTCGGAAGAAAAGTCCAGATTATTCACAGCAAATGTAAGAAACAATGCTGACAATTCTAGAAGTGAAGAAAAACTAGAACAAGATAAAGAATACTTAAATTCAGATTCAAAAGTTAATAGGGAGTCTGAAACCAATTCTTCAATGTTTAATATTACAAGTACTCCAAATAAGATAACGATTTTTTCTCAACCTGGTTCCTCTGGCAGTTCTAACAACATTCAAGATTTGGCAAATATAAGTGTACTCTCTGAGAGTTACAATGAAAAAGGGGATGGCCTGAGTTTATTGATTGGAGCTTATGATCAAAGCAGTGGAGGTGAAAGTTACAATTCATCTACTGATTTTCCACAGGATCAAAATGTTTCTCTTAGTAATAATACTCAAGCAAGTGATTGTTGTCATGATGGAGTTGGAAGTGATAAAGTTTTGGAAGCAGAAGAAAAAATGGAAAAATATGATGAGGTTAAGCTGGAGAAAAAGGATGATAGTGGTTTACATTTTCCTGCTACTGTTCAAAATACTCTGGACATTGTGTCTAACAATGAAACAAGTAAAACAACTTTTGATGAAGAAAAGAAGCAAGTAGATCATGCGCCAAATACAGTATTAGTAGATAAAAAGATGGAGTTAAATTATGATATTGAAAATCCCAGAGAAGCAGATAGTTCATTTGATGCAGAACAACAATTTGAGGATATTATGTCTGTAATTGGTGAAACTGACCATGATATTTACCAAGAAATGGATGTAGAAAAGTCAGATCAAATGAGAATGCTAAAATTTTCCAGCAGTGAATGTGGTTTATGTGATGACCAGCTTTGCTTAGCTAAAGTCAAATGTTTAACAGGACTACTCGACCCACTGGAGGAGGCCATGTTGTCATCTGGAATTTTGGACATTAATGATGTTCCAGTTGGAAATGTTGTAGAAATTGGTACTGATGAGAGTTTCGTGAATTCTATCAATTTATTGCAACCAAACAACACTATCAGTATTGAGAATGGAGAACCCAAGATGTTACATCCAATTGAATGCAAAGGAACATTTTCTGAAGAGGGTGGCATGATTCAAAGAAGTTGTGTAAATGTTCCTGAAACCAAAGCATCTAACTTAAATAACAACAATTTCAATTCTGATGATGAAGATTGTGAAAATCGTCTCGTAATTAATGATGAAACAGAGGAGACATTAAATGAAAGCGTAATAACCATAGAAGATGATTCAGAATCGGACCACACCTCATCAACTGAAACTGACTACATCTCTGATTCTGTAGATAGTGAGAATGAATTGTCTACCAGAGGAGATGACATGTCAAAATTAGTCGTGTCAGAGTACTTAAGAACCAGTCATAAAAATGGAAGTATTGATTGTCTGATTTCAGTCCCACAGAAAATGGAGAACAGGGTGGATTCACTTCATAAAAGCCATTCAGAAAAAATTCTGGAATCAATTTGGCATAATACACCAGAGAAATCCTCAAGGTTGTATAACACAACAGGTTCTCTTACAAAGTCATCCATCAATTCTAACACCCCTTTAGAAATCAAAGAAGAAACTAGGAGTAAAACATCAAAAATCAGAAATCAAAGTCTAGTAAAGCCTCTTATTGTGGAAAATAAAGATACTCCTTTACCAATCCCTGTGCGTTGCCCATCTCCAAGTTTGTGTTCAGTGCCATTAATGAACCAACTTATGCTTTCAAACATTTCTTTACCTAGTCAGCAATGTGCCATGCTACCTTCACAGCAAGTCCCTTTGAACCCCATACCCCTGCTGTATGCTATTCCTCAATTTCAACCATTCTCAAACATCTCTAGTACATTACCAACACTTCCCCTTTTGCCATTTCCAAATATTTCAGTTGTACCTCAAGTAAATCCATTTATGCCGATACAGTCACTTTCTGCATTTTCACCTGCACCTGCATTTGAGCTCACAAATGATAAGTTTGAAGCTTTTAGAAGAATGAATAATTCTGGAAGAGCTGAGTCGCGTTTTCAAAGTCCTATTCTTGGATCGTTACCGATGTTTGGAAGCAGGAATGTTGCACAATCGCCAGTACATTATCCTTCTCTGACTCAAAGACCGTCTCAAATTTTATTCAACAGAAATGTCACACCAGAAAGAACTACAGTTATTGAAAATGAGAGAACCACTCCAGATTTTCTTCAGAAGGAACAGTCACCTTTATTGCCACCAATATCTTCCTTTACTCAAAGAAAGGTAGCAGAAATTGATTGTGCAAAGAGTACTTGTGTATCTCCCAGCTTCCCTTCATATACAGGAAATATGGCTCCAAGTCATTTAAATCATCCAGTGAGATTGCCATATTCTTGTTCTTCATCTAGCTCATTAATACCTACTCATGATTTTCCCAGGTCCTCTGCTCAGAAATCCTACCTGCCTGATTATGTTAATTCATCAGTAAATATGGCTTTACATTGTGAGTCAAGTACAGACTCGCAAAAGATAAATAATCAGAGAAAGAATAAAGACCACAAGCAGACAAAAAGTAGAAAAGTAAAAACCAAAAAGCAAACGAATAACGTATCTGAGAATTTATACCAAGGCCATGAGAGTGTTCAAAAGGATTTTATGACTAGAAAAGATGGATTATGTTCAGGAAGAATTCCAGTGGGGCATGTGAAGCCCATGTCTTTCAGTGACCGAAATCACAGCGACAATCAAACAGACTAGTCAGGTTTACAGATGTCTAAAGAAGTCTGTGTACTTCATCTCTTCATTTCTCAGTAAACTCATACCAATGTTCATGTTTGAATTTAGCATTGTTTCTAGTAAAGTTAAGTAGTGTATAGTAAAATTTTTATGTTGTTGACTTTGAAAATGGCTAATTGTTGAATGTAATATTAGCGAAGAAGTGGCCTGGTTTATGTATGCCTTTTTCTAGAGAAAGACAACCATGAATGTAATTTGAGGACTTTTTTATGTCGAGTGTATGATTGTGTATCTTAACAGTCCTGAACAATACGTATATTTTGTCACTAAAGCCTGTCTCGATAACAAATCACAGAATCTCGTGAATTCATCATATCATTTTAAATGCATAATGTTACAAACGTGTAAGGTAGAGGCGTCTATTTTTATCATGACATGTAAATTGGTGCAAACTGTGCAATGGAATTTCTTGTTTTTGATTTTTTTGTGTGTGAAGTAGTATAGTAGTAGGGGGTATTTGGCGGTTTAACAAGTGCCATATCATTTGACCAGCTCATTCTTTTTTTTTTAGCTCTTCTGAGCCAAAGGCTCAAAGAGCTAATGCTATGGCCATTTGTGCAGTGTGCGTAAACTTTTTAGAATATGGGCCATAACTCAAGAACCCCTTGACCAATTATTGTCAAATTTGTCACAGGGTATCCTTGGCCCAAGGGCTCCCTTTTATACTAAAACTAGGGTTGTGACCCTTTAACAAGGGGAGATAATTAGGAAAATAGAAACAAAAGTACTGGTTGCTAAAAAATCTTCTTCTCAAGAACCACTGGGCAGATTATCACCAAACTTACACAAAAGGATGAGGATATGTTGTAGATTAAAATTTGCACAGGGATTTACCCTGGGGCAAAGGGTGTGGTCTCAAGGTCACTTCAAAGTTGACCAAAAATTACATTTTATTAAAATGTTGATATTTCGCTTACTATAAGGACTAGGATCATCAAATGTTGTCAGTTGATGCATCTAAGGACCTCATATCACGTTGACTCAAAATTAGGTCACCGTGACCTACTTTTTAAATTTTTGCTGCCATTCTTTTTCAAAATGATTTAGAGGCATATTTTGAACAATTTAAGGCCTATGATCATCAAACTTTGTCAGTTGATGTATCTTTGGTCCTCGAAGTATGTCAACTAAAATGTAGGTCACCTTGACCTACTTTTTTTAATTTTATGGCTAATCTTTTTTAAAACAATTAAGGTCATTAATTCGAATATGGAGAGGTTTAGAATCATTAAATCTTATAAGATGATGCATCTTGGGGCCATTAAACATATTTATTAAAAAGTAGGTCACAGTGACCTACTTTTTGAACTTTGCAGGCATTCGATTTCAAAGTGTTTTAGAGGCATAATTTGGACATTTTAAAGCCTGTGATCATAAAACTTTGTAAGTTGATGCATCTTGGGTCCTTAAAAAATGTCAACTGAAAATTAGGTCACCGTGACTACTTTTCAATTTATATAACTATAATTATTTTCAAGTACTAATTGGCTTAGAATCATCAAACTTTGTCAGTTGATGCATCTTGGGTCTTCGGAGTAGGTCAACTGAAAAGTAGGTCACCGTGACCTACTTTTGAAAACTTATGGCTTTAATTAAATATTTCAGGTACTAATTGGCTTAGAATCATCAAACTTTGTCAGTTAATGCATCTTGGGTCCTCGGAGTACAACAACTGAAAAGTAGGTCACAATTACCTACTTTTGAAAATTTATGGCTTTAATTAAATATTTCAAGTACTTATTGGCTTAGAATCATCAAACTTTGTCAGTTGATGCATCTTGGGTCTGTGGAGTACGACAACTGAAAATTAGGTCACGATGACGTACTTTTGAAATTTTATGGCTGTATTTAATAATTTCGGGTACTATTTGGCTTAGAATGATCAAAATTTGTCAGTTGATGCATATTGGGTCCGTGGAGTACAACAACTGAAAATTAGGTCACGATGACGTACTTTTGAAATTTTATGGCTGTATTTAATAATTTCGGGTACTATTTGGCTTAGAATCATCAAAATTTGTCAGTTGATGCATCTTGGGTCCTCAGAGTAGGTTGACTGAAAAGTAGGTCATCATGACCTACTTTTGAAAATTTATGGCTTTAATTAAATATTTCAGGTACTAATTGGCTTAGAATCATTAAACTTTGTCAGTTGATGCATCTTGGGTCCTCGGAGTACAACAATTGAAAAATAGGTCACAATTACCTACTTTTGAAAATTTATGGCTTTAATTAAGTATTTCAGGTACTAATTGGCTTAGAATCCTCAAACTTTGTCAGTTGATGCATCTTTGGTTCTTGGAGTACAGCAACTGAAAATTAGGTCACTTTGACCTACTAAAAAATTTTATGGTCATAATTTTAAAAAATATTTAAGGTATTAATTGGCTTAGAATCATCAAACTTAGTTGATGGGTCCTCAGAGAATGACAGGTGATAAGTAGGTCACCTGACCAACCCTCAGGTACTAGTTGGCTTAGAATCATCTTTGGTTCTCAGAGTGTTAATTGGAATTTCAAGTGTTTATCTAAATATACAGGATACTTAGAGGCTTCAGATAGAAGTGATAGGTTGTACAGTTTATCAGAAGAGCAATTCAAGGCCCTTGGGCCTCTTGTTTTAAATTTATTTACTTATTTTGGTTATTTATGTTTGTCTTTCAACATTTCTGTATTTTCTAGAGGCCACCTTTTTGTCAACTAATCTAATATTGGATATATCTCCAGGCCCGTAGGAAGCAAATTCACTCTGAGGGGGCACAACCATACATTTTCAGTTGGGGGGGGGGGCACTATCAACTACCAAAATTCCTTGAAAGGTCATCAGACGTTATTATTGAGGGGGCACAAGCATGTAGTAGCCATGTTTTCTATAGTACTTATATACATCGGCAAAATTATTGGGGGGGGGGGCACGGCCCCCCGTGCCCCCCCCCCCTCCCGGTTCCTACGGCCATGATCTCTACACAGTGCCGTGGTTGATAAATATTTTTAATGAATATAACATTTTGAAAGTTTCAAATTAAAGTGTTTGATATATTAATTTTTTTTTAATAAGGCTTTGGTTCTAAGTTCCTGCATTTATTAAAAAAATTAACTTGAACAAAGTTTAATAAAACTGTTATTAAATGAAATGAGAAATTTTAAAGTGCATATAATTTTTAAAGGAACATTTACTTGCAAAAAAAGAGAAGAAAGAACGAGGGCGCTTTTGATTGGCATTCAGCAGGAAGCTGGGCGCACTTGAAAAGTGAAATTTTCATTGATCTGTCACGTGAAATTTTAGCATTCCTTTGATGTATCAGGTTCCTGTGAAATAGGAAAGGGACATATTTTCCCGATATTGTATTTTGATTTGCTAAAAAAGAACTTGAAAATTGGCTAGATGAGTCATTTGGTACAAAATGTTACATTTTTAAACACATTTTTCTAAAAATTTGCTATCTCTGGGTCATCTCTCCATGATTTTGATACGTTATTTCAAAGAAACTAACAAACATTTGTAAAAAATGGAGAGAAGACCCAGAGACGATAAAAAATGAACTTTTTCCAAAAAGAAATCCACCGCGTAAATGCGGTGCTTCATTGTCGCTTTAAAAACCATAAGGTGTATGTAGCGGTGATAGCTCAGTAGTATTCGTTACCCGTCCAGTGCAATGAAAAGGAGTATTTTTTGGTTCGATCCTCGCATGGAGCGTTAATATCTTTTTTTAGTGCAAACAATTCTTTTGTCAGTTTAATTTTATGTACTGATTTATTTTCAAATAGATAAATTCTGGTTCTGTTGCACCGAAAGCGAAAGCAATTCTTCCGACCTACTGATTCTTTAATATATTCATGTACTTGTAATTGCATTTAACAATACCCTATGGGTATATTTAGTATTTATGTGAAGCGTTACTAAGTTTTACATGGAGTAATTATTAAGATAAGCGGACTTATATATTAAATTTGACAAAGTATTTCAAACTAAATGTAATATTTTCCCATGTGCGTAACTTTGTAAAGTACTGTATGTCCAGCTGTGGTCAGTCGACCAAATCGTAGACATTTAAACTATAAATGTTTCGTACGCCTTATTCCTGCAGATCACACGCCAAACACGCCCATCTTCTTTGGTTTTAATGTTGCATATGTAGGATATTCGTTTTTTTCCCTCTGAATTACATGTTGTAGGTCAAACAAATAAGCTTTAACGATGTATTTTTACAATCTGTTTGATGAAGTATAAACTTTTGCCAATCTTTGTTAGTGCTGTCATTCCAGATAAATGAAGTATCAATTTGGACAGCTCCTGGCTTGAGCACGGAAAGTGTTTATTACGCTGTCAGTTTTATGTATACATTACTTTTTTCTTTGTTGCAATCATTAAAATTTAGTTTAAAAATGTATTTGACTTTTAATTTGGTGCGTGTTTCCGACTGTTTCTGTTGAGCAGTTTTAAGCTGTTACGGTTAAGTCTGTGTTGATTGATCTACTCATCATAAGATGTGAAGCCTTCACATTTGTAAATCAGGTTAAAATGCAAATATAAGTATACTTGAGTTTGAGCGTTGCTCTTGACAACCATCCGTTGGTCCTTTTCCTGAACCTTTTACCTTTTTAAAGGGGCAGGGATACAGATAAGATGTTTATAATCTTTTAAAAAAAAATATGTAGAATTTTGTGACGTACGTTTTGCAAAAGGGTATTATAATAAAAATTTCAAGTAATTTAGGCTAGTCTCATTAGTAAAAGATATTAAAACTACTGTCAAAAGAAGTAAAAAGAATTGTAAAACCATTATACAAGTCTTGTCAGTTTGTGGTCTGTGTTTGTTTGTATTTTGTTTAACGTCCCTCTCGAGAATTTTTCACTCGTATGGAGACGCCACCACTTGCCGGTGGAGAGCTGCAAATTTTGTCCTATGCTCGGCACTTACGGCCATTGAGCAGTGAGGGATCTTTATCGTGCCAGCACCTACTGCGACACGGGACCTCGGTTTATACGGTCTCATCCGAAGGACCGGTCTCCACGTCCCACAGTGGGATTCGAACCCGCGACGTAAGGATCAACTCCTTACTTCGCGACTCTAGAGCAGACGCTGTAACCACTGCGCCACGCGGGCGTTGTGGTCTGTGAACAATGTCAGAAAATTGATATGGAACACATCAGGTAAAACGTAAAGATTAAGGTTTTGCCAAAGGTCAAGATGTCCAAAAATTTATTTTTACAATAGTTCAAACACTATGTGAGGTATAAAGTTAAAACTTTTACAGTTTATAAATATATCATTGATTAACAGATAGAAAGTATCACTTGAAAAAAAATATGTAAAAAAATATTTTTTGAGAAAAAAAAAAATTGCATATTTTTAAAAAAAATACACCTGCTTAATTCTGTACTTTTAGAGAAAACCATCATTGAAGAAATAATATATGTTTATCAATGAAGGGCAACTTGGACGTGAATGGTCTCTGAAAGGCTGTTATTGAAAGCATGACATGTATAAAGACAAGACCCTTATAAAATCCGCCATTTGCAATGAACTTTCGGTTTCAAATCTTAACATTTGGACAAAATAAACAGGGAAAACATCTTTCCAGAGGCTATCGAAGTCCAACTTACCCTTCATTGATAAACATATATTATTTCTGCAATGATGGCTTTCACTAAAAGTACGGAATTAATTAGGTGTATTTTTTTAAAAAATATATGCATTTTTTTAAAAGAATTTTTCTCGATAATTTTTTTTTTTTAAGTATTTGTTATCAAGAGATACTTTCCATCTGTTAATCAATGATATATTCATACACTGTAAAAGTTTTAACTTTATAAACCACATAGTTTTGGAGCTATTGTAAAAATAAATTTTTGGACATGTTGACCTTTGGCAAAACCTTAACAACTGTAACAGATTACCAACATCTTTTTTTTGGGGGGGGGGGGGGGGCACTACCAGGAAAAATTCCTTGACAAGCTGAAAAAGATCATACGACATTCAAGGTAGTACACAATAGATAGGCAAAATTTTTCCTCAAATTCAATTTTTTTGAATTTTGTTCTAGGATCCAAAATCTCTCTTTATATGTAATTTGAAAGAAATTCATCCGCACATTTCTTGCCCACTTGCATGTAATTTTGAAATGTAGCCTATCAGACCTTTGTAAGAAGATTGTGAAATCGGACATTGCACTTTAGAAAATACATTTAAAAAAATTGTCAATCTACTGCAAATTTGTGTGTTATGCTTTTTATATATTTATACAACCTTTCTGTTACAAAATTTCGATAAATTATATTTAAACCGGTATATTTAAGTGAAATATGATGGAAAAAAAAGAACATACATTACCCAGGAATGAAAATTCACATGTAAATAGTTAGAATTCAATTTCTACGGGAAAAAAAAATCAGCAGAATGATTGAAATGGAACCCATATTAAAATGTGTCAAAATGGGGAACATTGAACCGACAGTTTCAGATATTCTGGCGATTTAAAAAAAATATTCAGTGCAAAAAATTGAAAGAATCGGTAGATGGGTCACAATATTAGAACCTCAAAATATGACCTTGACCTTCATTGTGTTTAAAGAATGGAGACTCTTGTAAAATGTCAAAATATCAGGTCCCAAGACCATAAACTGAGAACAGACTTAAGTCAAAATTTCAAGTTAATATAACTTATGAAATAATTTTGATAATGGAACAAAATTTTCATCATAGGTTTACATTGGAATATTTTACAAACCTGCAAATTTTAAGTATGTATGTTGAATAAAACTTAAGATATTCAAAATCAAAATTTTGACTTAAGTCTGTTCTCAGCTTATGGTCTCTAGGCCAGGTCTCTATTATGAATGGATGAAAAGTTACTTTGCATTTAATAACAGACTGTCCTATCGCATGGAGATGGCATAAACACATTCTAAAAGTAAGCTCTCGAATGACCAATATGTAGGATTCTCTAATTTTTTAGCTCACCTCAACGAAGTTGGGGGAGCTTTTGTAATGCCCTCGTCGTCCCAGGTTAAAGTTTATGGAGCAGATTTCTTTTCAAGTACTTCTATGCCCTATATTAATCAGAGATGCATGGAGGATGCTTCTAGTGTGTTTCATTGTACCGACTGGTTTAAGATGCTTCAATTTCAGCTGAAGAATGACCAGGTTAATCATCGATCGAGTAAAGCTATTAGTATATATATATATATATATATATATATATATATATATATATATATATATATATATATATATATATATATATATATATATATATATATTGTTTAATTCCGGAAGATAATAAGAAGTTTTACTGCACGAGGGGGCCTTTTTGCAGAAATGGATTAGCAGTGAGTACTTTCAGCTTTAAGTTTTGTCTTTTACCTTTGGTTTGTTCTTGTTTTCAACATAAGCATTTTATACAGTAAAATACAAATAAAACAAATAAATAAATAAAAAGAATCTCTCAAACAAATAAATTATGTGTTAACACTATTTATTAGATTTTTTTAATCTCTCCATTTAATCTACAAATCAATACAATGCTAAGTAAACTTGAGTGTCTTTTTCCTCGGAGTTTATAATTAATGTCGCTGGTAATTCGGAATGACACATGCATCAAATCAGTAAATAGGACTTCATTGTTTTTTAAGATACTCCATGACATATATGTTTCCAGACGTTTTTTCTCCCATTACCAGAAATTTATTGTCCGCAACACATATAGAGAGTGGACATTGAATACCATTATTTTTTAGTGACACTAATTGGAAGAATTCCCCTTCACTACCAATAACATGCAAGTAAGAGTTATTTGAATCTGCTATCAAAATATGTCCATACCGATCCGTAGCAATGCTGGAAGGAAGCAACTCGCGCTTTTGTTTGGTCAGTGTCTTCCAATCATATGTAAATCGTAATTCTCCGCATGACTTTATGACAACAACAGCATAATAACCAAGATCTGTAGTGCAGATATCATTGTAATACATTGACTGCGATGCAGTCAGGTATGTTGAAAAGAAGGTGGTTTTCTTTATCATACTGAAATTCGGAAATAAGTTCACCGTGGTCTGTGTATTTGGCGACTTTAGAATCATCTTTTTTGTACAAACATACAAATAGCTCTCCAGCTGAGGTACAAGTCATACCTTTTGGTTCCCATGGGCTTGCGAAGATTATGGATGACAAAGTCCTGTCGCAAAGAATTTCATCAACCGTGTTCTCCTTGGTGTTGCTGAACAAGAGATTACCTTTCGACGAAAGAGCCAAATAATTTCCTAAACTAGCAATATCAATGTCGTCAATAAGGTTTCCATTAAAGTCAACAAGAACCAAACATTTGCTTTTCCCTCCTACCCAAACTCTGTTGTAGCCAAAATGCACAATCGAGGTCAAAGATTCAAAACTATCCTCGATCCAAATTGATTTCATGTTGATTTTGAACAGTACACTAGGATGCTTCAGAAGGATTTTCTTGTAAATTTTGATTTCCTTAACATTTTGTATTCTATATGCTGGATGTTCTAGTAATACTCTTCCGGAAATTTCTCCGAAATGCTCCTTCAATTTAAAATCTTCAAACGTTTTCGCGTGAAACTTAGGTCTGGTATATTCTTGCAATGCTGGTAAATCTGTGAAAATGTCCGAGTTTGGCTTAAATCTCACAAGTTTGTCAATCTTATTTGAGGCTTTTAGATCTTTGTTTTCTCTCAGAAGGATTTCAATACTGGCAAGTTTCTCTTTGAAGAATTCCTCTTGTTTCTTTAGCCCAGTTATGTCTTGAGATTCCATATCATGCAATTGTCTTTGAAGCTGGAGTGCAATATAATCAATTTCCTCTTTCCATTTCAAAAACGACCTTGCGCGAGTTTTGCGGATATCTTCTCTTTGTTTTTCATAATGTTTTGGGAGAGACATCAGCCGTGATTTCATATCATTAAGATTTTGTTGGTAAATGGATCTCAAGCTTTGGAGGTTTTCATTTTCAGTTTCAATCTTTTGGATTAATTCCCTCTTTACTTCTACCAGTTCTACCATATCATGTGGCTTGTGTTTTGTGGAAGAACAAATCAAACAAAGGGGTTGGTTGCAAGTCTGACAAAACACTTGGCATTCAAGCTCTGGATGACTTTGACACCTACAGTCATCGGTATCGTCACAGCCTTCTAAAATGTCCATTAAAATATGTCCCAATTTTGACTTGCTTTTTAGATGTTTTGAAACACAATTCTCGCAAAGTTTCACGCAGCATGTCTTACAAATGTATGCACTTGGCTCATCACAATCACTACAAGAAACAATGTTTTGTGCCGTAAAGTCAGCCGTTGTCATTGTAAAGATTACACATAGAGCAGCAACAAATTTTCAGATCATTTATAAAGTACAAAAATATGTTGTTGAGGAAACAAATCATGAGAGAGCAGTTCCTCTACTATGAGAGCAAATGTTTTGGTGAGAATATATTCACGGGCCATCTGATAATGAGGTACGAGAGGGATAAAGTGAAATTTAATTGTTTCCCCGCAATTTAAAAGTTCAAAGGTTGATATTGCTTTCCGTGTAAAAACGACTCATTTGGCAAATATTAAACGTTTGCAATTGAAGTACACTCTTTGAAATTTGTTTACGGAAATCGCATTAAAAAATACACCAAAAACCTGATAGACAAACTATTTCATAATATCGTTATATTTTGCACCGAAATTAACACCAGGAAAAATATTAAAAATAATAATAATAAAAATTTTTCTTATCTTTCATCATTAAATAGAAATATTTATGTTCAATTTTTACGAAAGAAAGTTTTATGGAACTCAAAAAATGAAGAACTGGACGGAAAAATCAGTGAACCATTAGTTGAGGAAAGAGTGCAATGATGCCTAAAAAGTTTAGTACTGTGAGGCAAGAAATTCAAAATTAAAAAAAAAATAGTAAAATAAAATTAAAGAAAAATTATGATTGAAAAAAAAAATGTACAACAAAATATTATGAGCATTATTTTTTTGCAAAACAAGAAGATTAAAAAAGGGAAAAAAAAAATGATTTTCTGTTTTATGCCCTGTTCACAGATTTGTACAGAGTTGTTCGGAAAGTCCGCGGACCATGTCAATCTTTTCAAAAAATTTAAAATGAGCACATTACAGATGGGAAATTAATTATTTGTTGGTGTTTCATTCCATGTGATTTGATAGAAATAATGTTACTTAATTTTAAAATCAACATGCTTTGTAACCGCGGAGAATACTTTAATAACAACATTGTAATGTTAAAAACATAGCGAAATGCGTTTCTTAAGAATACTTTCCCTATGAATTTCACACAATCTGGCTCAATACCCACTCATCACTAGAAATTAGTTTATTAAGAAGTGTTTCAGTCGCGTCATTTCGTTGGTCAATGCCTTTCATAAGAACAACAACTGTGAAACACCTATCTCTTTCCATGACCTTACTAACTTTTAAAAGTTTTTGATAAAATTTTACAGATAATCTATTTCATAACAGATTGTCCTCATCTGAGTCTCTATCATTCAAATACCGCCTGTTCCTTTTCAAACATATGCAGGATTCGCTTTTGACACATTTCCTGCCTCCCCCATCATTTTCAGAGATTATTCTAGTATTTCCCAAGTACACCACAAAATTGTATGGTTAACAGCTGCTACATGACGTTCTACAACGTCATCATTTTTTTTTTCCTTTTTGAATGAGGACTATCTACCTCTTTTCAACGACGCAAAATATTAGGTCTTAATTTGGAATATGAAACTAGGTAACAATTCTTAATTTCAACGTCTAGGGTATTTTTTTTGTTATACGCCATTTTACAGAGTAAATGACTACATTATTTAGTGTATTGTTTGTAAATTACTAAAATAAGTCATGCTCCACGATCCGATTTTCGCAGTTTTTGAATCCGAATAAGTTTGAAATGAATCATGATATTTGAAAATTTTCATTACACATCTTTTGAACTTATTGTTAAAACATTTCTGACAATTTGGATATATAAAGTTAAGTTAAAAAGTTATCAGAGAAGTCCGCGAACTTTCCGAATAACCCTAGTATTTGTACTGCTCTTTGTAGTTTTTTTTTTTTAATTTTTTTTTTAGATCGATCACTGTTCGTTAGCTTCACCTTTTTCATATGAATGAGAGAATGAGATGTGAAGATAACGTGGATATAACGAAAGTGTTTCTGCTTAAAAGTCCACTTAAACAATACAACACAGGCATCTGAAAAAACAGTTGGGATAAGGTGCCATGGGGATGTGAGCATCCCCTGTAGACCTGTTACACCACCATGTGCTATTTGTCACGATCAGATAAAAAAAATCTACAGACATAATAGCTTAACAATTCGTATAAAAACAGCAGCCAACATTCTACAGATTGTATTTGCAAACAAAGGCATTGTACCACAGTTGAATTTGCAAAATATTCACTTTAAACGAGGTATTCTTGTATCATCAACTTATTTGTTAACAGCTGCCTCGTTTAGAAATTTTTCGTACATAGAACATGTACATGTATCTGGAAGACATAAACTATCCATTCAGGAGGTAATGATAGTTTCTACATACGAAGGGAAGTTTTCGATAGAAAAGGTGAAGTCATCACGTTTATCATAAAGTTTAGTAGTTAGTTTGCCACCAATAAAGTAAACCACAGAGTCTGACACACCTGTCTCATATTTGGATATTTTACTAGTCGTTCTTTCTTAAAATACAGATGTGTCAGACTATGTGATGTCTTATTTGGAGTTCAATGGAATATATCACTGATAAAACGTCGTCGATATATCTAAATTTCGAATGGAAGGCCATAGCAAGAGACATTTTTTCATGTAAAAGTTTTTAATAAATATCAATTGCTTAATGCGAATACAAAAATAGATCTGCTAATAACGGGACACAATTAGTATCCATGGAAATACTAGTTCCTCATACAAAAATCTAATATACTAGTAAATAAATATATACAATGTCTCCGCAGCAACCCGTATGGCGAAACTACGTACATCTGTGGGAATTTTAAATAATCGGGACGGATAGATTTGGTAAAACTACAACTGTTGTACGTACGAGTATTTGTTTTGCTTCATCTGCAGAATAGTGGAAGCTGAGAAATGATGTGATGTATGTAAATGATAATATGTAAAAGGTTAAGATAACGAACAGTGATCGATCTAAAAAAAAATCCACAAACAATACGTGAAGAGTGCATAAAACACGGACCCCTTGAATTCCAGAGGTGGGATCAGGTGCCAAGGAGGAGTAAAGATCCCTGTTGACCGGTCACACCCGCCGTGAGTCGTATGTATTGATTAGGTAGAAGGAACTATCCGTAGTCAATTCAGTACAAAATCAAAGGTCTAACAATTGGTATGAAACAAGTCAGCCAAAATACGACCCAATGATAGGTTTTAATTGCTTACAAGGTCATGATAACCACCATAAAATTTACAAAATGAGGACTTAAAACGAGGATGTTGAAATCCCTGTAAATCAACGTTTCAATGAGTAGCCTGTCTCGCTTTAAAAATTGATCGTACTCAGAGCAAGCTCTTGAGTAGCGAATAAGTTGGGAGACATAAACACCATAAGCAGGTGATAGTGGAATATACATGAAAGTACATAAATAAGGAAAGTTGACAATGGAAAAGCTAAATTCATCTCGTTTGTCATTCAGTTTACTTGTTAATTGGCCATTATCGTCTATAGTCAGTAAAATATCTAAATATGAAACAGATGTGGCAGACTCTGTAGTGTCTTTTATTTCAAGTTCACTTGAATATATCGAGTCGAAATACGTATGAAAATAACTATTGTTAATTGATAAAACATCGTTGATATATCTGCATGAATGTCAAATTGAAGGCCACAGCTAGTGTTTTCCTTTTCTCGTGTAGAAGTTTTTGAATAAATTCTACTTCATAGGAATATAAAACAGGTCAGCTAATAAAGGATCACAATTAGTGCCCATTGGCATTCCAACAGTTTGTTGGAAAACTTAGTCCCCGAAGACTACATAAATGTTATAAATGAGGAACTCCAGCATCCTTTTAATATCAACTTCAGAGTACCTGTGTGTACAATCAGAGTGGATTTTAACGAAGTAATATTGCTGATGACCAATCACAAGATGTGAAAATTTCCAAGTTCTGTTTTCCGAGTTCCGATAAGTTACAGATAAAAGCGTGAAATACATACCTTTACATCTACTTGTATAAGAAACTTGATCTATCAGATTAAAAATTGATGTATATAGTTTATTTTTTTCTCTCTATGTATTGAAGTATTATTGAGCTAAATGTTGATGTATAAATTTCATTGCACATTGAAATGTAATCATATGACCGTTTTATCTTAGGATATCTTTGAAGAGATCGGTCATCTGAGTCTTTAGATAAGGGTTTGACTTCAGAGGTACTAGTATACCGGTGATACTGGTGAATTAGATTAATTAATTACGTATACGATCTTTGAAGTAAAAAGAAATTCATTATAGATTTTTGCACCTTTCAAATAGATATGATATTCTTTTCCAATTGACAATTTCCCAAATTGGCGTGTGATTCTTTTTAATTTTTGTATTATTTTCATATTATCAAATATTTTCAGAATATATAAACATGCCATAAACCTTACAACAGTAGCTTAAATAGGAAACAATAAGTACATAAAATTAATCACGCTCACGACTTCATCTTTCTATGTAATTTTTTCTTGAAAAACCGAAAAAAAACTAATAATTTGACTTTGAATCTTAGTTACAGGACAAACACATACGTAAGCAATAGTGATAAATATTATATTATTTTATAATGATATATCGTAAACCAAGGTTAAATGATAATTTATTTTGGTCAAAATACAATTTATAAAAGAAAAAAATTAGAAAAGAATAATTCACATGTTCCCACGTAGAATGAATTATACATGGCATATATAGCATGGTACAAAGGCAATATGTTACTGAATATATTAATTTTGTACATGAAATTTTTTTTTTTTTATTATTTTTCCATTTTCATATTCTACTTCATTTTAAACCAAAAAAAAAAAAAAAAAAAAAAAAAAAAAAAAAAAAAAAAAAAAAAAAAACCAAGGTACATTCCTTATGTTTCAATACAAATGTACAATTCGGCGGGACTTTTGTGTGTTATGTACATAGTTCTAGTTTAAAGATTTTTTTCTTTTGATTTCATAAAAAATGGCCACATTATGTTGCCCCATTTGAGCCCCAAAATTTTATAAAGTAACCGAAAATCAGTCCATATCACAGGGACTGCTTCAGTATTAACGTGACCAGACAAGGCCATTCTGATTTGGAAAAGAAGATTTTTTAAAATAGATTAAATTTCTGTACAAATGCATTATGTAAAATTTAGTCCCTAGTATAAGCCCCGCTCTAACGACAAGATTCATGATTTGAGAAGCTTGAATCTAAACAACTTAGGAGGGTTTGTATATCAATGTGATTTAGTGCTGCCCTGATACTGTTAATTTTTGAAAAAAAAAATCCTTTATCTTCTCATGTAAAACACTGATACCCCTTTGTATCCCGAACCTACCCCCTGGATCATCATGTTTTAACAAACTTAAATTTGAACTTCATGTACCTGAGGTTGCTTGCTTATCAAATCACTAAACATGTCCCTGTTGTTCTAGAGATAACATTTTTTGAAAATTTTCTATATATTCCCATTGGAAAACGTTGATTCTGGATAAGGTACGTCCCACCGAACTCCCTATAGCCATGCTTGAAGGAGTTGAATATACGACTATCTATAGGATGTCTGAATGTTAATAGGACAATTCATGACCCTGCTGTTATTGAGGAGATTTGTTTATTCTCTATCCCAGGGTCCACGATTTGATCAAATTCAATATACTACAATAGGATGCTTGAAGATTAATACATGTATGATTAATCAACACACTCTTGTTCTTTCACATAAAATCTTTGAAGATTTTCCCCGTATCTATTCTTTTGTATGTTTGAATGATTCATTGATCAATAAAGTCAAGAACATAACTAGTATTTAAAAGTACATGTAAGACACAAATATTTATATCACACCCTATCACACCCCATATCATTATTAAAAATAACAACAACCAAAATAGAAAACTATATATGATTTAATAGATAATCATAATATTTATATTATTACTAAATAATCATTTTAATACCGACGGATATTGAATATTGATTTCATATTACGAAATTCATCTCTGTCCTGAGAATATCAACTACCAATGTTTGCCCTAACTTTCCAACTTGACTATTTTCAATTTCGATCGGCTCTAAAATTTTCAAAACTTCTTTGGTAATCAGTCATACAAATGGTTTTATGATTCTTTTAATGAAGGAGACTTCTCACCATTGATTTCTTTTCGGACATGCCATTTTTGTTTATTTGATACCGTTCAACCCATCAAATCTTGATGTCATAAGGTATTCTAATCCTTTTCGCTGTATGTTTGCCTGCAATCGTTGTCATTTATTTTAATCCCGCATTTTTATCTTGCTTTTAACCGTTTTCTCATAATAAAACTATGAAAATTATATGTATTTAGAGTAAAGTTCTTATTGAAAGGCAAGATATTATGTCATCAAAACTTTTCCGCGGAAAATTCTCTCGGGAAATAAAATTCTACTGAATAAAGTTCATTTTCCTGAGGTTTGAACCAAAATAATAGGAATCTAGATTCTCAATCCTTTCGTAGAGACTAACACGTTAACCATGGACCAACAGGTAATTCCATTCAAATCGTATTTGTGATATGACCTTTAAATATCTAGACTTCACAATTTTCGGATAAAATACAAATGTTATGTCATAAAAGTTTATTATTAAGGCACAGTCGGGTCTATGTTCAATATGATTATGTACAGGGAAATGTACTTTTTTTTTTCGCATACTTTGAAGTGTAATAAAGGTGAGGATAACGGACAGTGATCATTTGCAAAAATCCAGTGAAGAAAGCGAATCGTGAATGGAGCAAAAATACGGATCTGTTGAAACCCCAGAGGTGGGACCAGGTGCCTAAGAGGAGTAAGTAACCCATGTCGACCAATCACTACCATAGTGAGCCCTATGTATTGATAAAATAGACAAAATAATCCGTAATCAAATTTACCATAAAAATAATGACCTAACAAATGGAATCAAACTTTTTCCTATGAGGCAGAATCAATCAAAAACTTCAACATGAGAAGAAAAAGATGAAAACACTTGCTGTGACCTTCAACTCGACGTGTAGATCATCAATTGACAATTGTGACTTTCATTCATTTGCCGACTCGATATACCCCAGTGAACTCGAAATAAAAGATACCACAGAGTCTATCACATCTGTTTCATAGTTGAATGTTTTACTGACTCTAGGCAATAGGGGGAAACTAATTATTAATTTGACAAATGAGATGACTTCAGCTTTTCCTTATTTGTCTAGCGATATTCCGTTATCATCTGCATTTGATGATTATGGCTCCCAACTCAGCTCTGGCTCCAGGGCCATAAAACTTAGATGAGCTTACTTTTGATCCCAGTCTCACTTTTCCACTATATATTCCGTTTGTAAAAGTGAGACTGAGATCAAAAGTAAGTTCGTCTAAGCTTTATGGCTCCGGAGCCTGGTTATTTTTTAACCGAGACAAGTTACTGACAGATAAGTTGATGTGAAAGGAATTTCAACAACCTCGTTTGAAGTCGGCATTTCGTTAATTCTATGGTCGTTATAATGATCTTATTAGCAAATCAAACCCAACATTAGGTGGTATTCCTACCGATTTTAGGCCCTTGCCTTTATTACTGAATTTGACTACGGAATGTTCCATCTACTTTGTCAATACACAGGGCTCACGGAGGGTGTGACCAATCGACAGGGGATACTTACTTCTCCTAGGTGCCTGATCCTACCTCTGGAATTTCCGGGGATCCGTGTTGTCTGACCTGTTTACAGATTTATAATGTTTGTAAATTTCTTTAGATCGATTTCTGGTTGATATATTCACACTTTTCATTGTTACAGGGTTGGGCAGCATTTTGTTATCTTTATACTTTCAGATATCTTAGGATGTGATTAAAAAATATGTTTAACAACTGTTGCTAAATGCTATTTATTTTGAATAAATGTTCTGCATTAAAAAAATATCATTTTTTGAATTGATTTTCCTCAAAAGTATTATGCATCTAATACCGCTTTTTATCATAAGTGATTAATACACACTACATTCTCCTGATGGGGGCATTAAGAACATTTGCTTGAAAGTTTGTAATAGGGAAAATAATATGAAAACAGTTTTTTGTCACTCGGTATGTTTATTGAAACGATATGAAACAAAAACAATAAATAAAGAAAACAACAATGAAACGATTGCAAAAAGTAGAGAATTTTAAGATGGTCAGTCAATGACAGGTAAACAATTTACATGGTGGACTACAGTTGCCCTACGTAAAAATGGCTATAATAAAACGTATTTTGCCATCAAAATGAGAGGAATGTAATTTTTTTTTTCGATGTTTTATCCCCACATTTTCTAACATAAATATAAATCATAGTTAATTTTACACTTCGAACAACACTACAGTTACTAACATTGGTACAATAAATGATTGTTTTTGTTAAGAAGTAAAATCATATAATAATGGCGTTCAATTCCTTTTTTCAAATTAATTAATTAAATTCATTTTGGGAAAAAATCATTTAAAATAAAGAAAAACATAGACATCTTGTCATATGTTAAACATTACTTAAATTTGCATAATAAAATATCTTTCTCATTCTGAATAGTAATTAAAGCTCAAAGTACTTTTTTTAAATGACAAATTTCTTTAATTAAAATATCTATAATTCAGGGACCAAAAACGAAGGTTATTTGAAAATTAAACACATAAATTGATATGATACAATGTATTTGAGAGAAATGGAATTTTATGCAATAAAACTGATTTTGAAGATGTTTGTTGTCATTCCTTTGAAAACACCAATATGATTACATTTTTGAATTGCCATCCTGAGTTGATGTGTGTGGTTCACTGGGATGGAAGGCAGGTGGGGGTTGGTACTGAGGTGGGGGCGGGTAGGCAGGGAGCGGGGGAGGGGGAGCAGATGGATGTGCTGCGTAGTTGATTGTCGCTGTTGTCACATATGGTCCGGATCCATATCCCCCATAAGCATTGTGATCTGCAGAAAAATTGGAATTTATCATAAAGTTTTCAGGCGGAGACTATAATAATTTGTTTCATTTAAAGAGATAATTAATTAATTAGAAAAAAGGGTTCTAGTGCTGTTAATGAAATGGAGCAGTGCTGTGTAAGGTGTAAGGGAGGGATAGCAGGAGAAAAACATTCTTGCAAAGTTTGACAGACAAAAAATAGTAAGTTTATAATATAGACTTCACAAACATACTCATATTAATCTGCTCGAATCACAGAAACACTAAATTAAGTGATAGTGCAAGGAATAAGCGGAATTAAACTAAACAACAACGAATTTAGAGTTCTAATTGTAAATAACATAGGCATGACGCTTTTCTGCAATTTGGAAATTGTTTAGAATGATGAAAATTGGTTTTTACGATATCAAAGCAATTAATCATTTAGACACCCAAAACTAACTATTAACACTTGGATTTACTCACATGTATTCGTGTAACTCGCCGAATAACCTGTTGGATGTACGATCACTTGACCGTGGGTTTTCTTTTTACAGCAATGTACAACAACACAGGTAATGATAGTGGCGATGATCACCAGTCCAACGATTCCTCCTATGACAGCTCCGGCAATCGCACCACCACTACCAGAAAAATAGGTGATTGTTTAAATTACTTTAATGTTGATTTAACTTGTCCTAAAAAGCCGAAGACAATGTTTATAACTTTGTAAACATTCAACCAATACTAACCAAATTTTGCATAGCCACAATTTATTCTATGTTCCTTAATATACAGAATTTTTAAGGAAATATCTGAAGTTTCATAATAATAATATTATGACGAATTTTAGGTAGGTTATGGTTTGTCGGCGCACGAACAAAATACGGAATAATAATTTACGTATGTATCTATTTCAATTGCATTATTTTCTGGTAATATGTGGAACATAAAACTCAAATTTATAGCAGTGAAACCAGAAACAAAATATTTGTAATTTTCACATAAATGACGTTAGACACAGAAGATTGTTGTCATTAATTTTAAAGTGTTGTTGGAATTGATTTTGAAGCAAATGACGGCTTCAAAATTCAGACGGTAAGGAACTCGACGACGTCAAACTTTGTGTATTCTCTGCTTCCTACAATGTAAGGCGTTTGGCGCCACTCCCACAATGTAAGGCGTTTGGCGCCACTCCTACAAATGCTGGTAAAAGGTTTTCAAAATCATTATTAATGCAATAGTGCAGGGAAATTGATATGTCGTGAGAAGGGTCACATTAGTGAATTCATTGACCACGCAGATAGCGGCTTTTAAACTTTCCAGAAAGTTTTTATGGGGTGTTTTGTGAAGCGACCTTTCGAGGACTAAAATTTGATTCTGAAAAAAAAACTATGGATAGTGGTGAATTTAAATGCACACGGGCATTAAAATGATCATTACGATAGAGACATAAATTACGCTTGCTTTTCTGCGCTGATGTACACTTACGTCCTTTCTTCATTTTTACTTTATTTTCTTATTATATGTGTTATTATCATGAAATTTGGAAATCGCGATCATAAAATGTTGCTTTTTACTGACATGCAAGAAGAAAAATTTAATTTAACAAAGAAAAACTAAATTGTTATCCTTTGATTTCCTGTCTAGGACTTTTTGGGACAACCCTAGTATGTTTTAAACATGAAGTTCAAATAGTATATACTACGTAAATGAAAAGAAAGCTTTTATTTAATGACAAATTTACAGTCGTGACGCTGTAGTAAAATTAAACTGAATGCTTATTAAACATCTTTTTCAAATTATTCATTATTTCAAAAAATTAATGTTCAGCATCTCTAATATCATAAACCATAGAAGCCTCGCCTATCCAGAAAAAAAAATGCAAATAAAATTAAAAGATATCAAAATGAAAGACAGGATCACCATTCCAGCAGAGATTTATAATTTCACCGACATTTCTTTTAATGAATTCTCTGTTCTATTGTAAACAATATAAACATAACTACCATATAAACAATAAGAAAGAGAGAGAAAAGAAAAATGATTAATGGGGGAATATTTGTCGTCGTCCTCAACGTAAGCAGGAACTATCACCTTCGATATTTATTATTAGTCAAATGCATTATTATGAGGTCATTCGAAGTTTTTTTTCTATGTTTAGCGTCGGTGTGAGTCTTGGATTTTTAAGGACCCTAATCTGAAAAACAAAGAAACAAACAAAATCAAGAGACTTCAAACGGATTCTTTGTACTTTGTCTATGTCTTTCTATATGTTTAGAAAACTGTCATATTAAAGTTTATTCATTAAGTATTTAGTAAGCATTTCGTACATTGAGTTTACTGAGGAATAATCTCTATATTAGAAAAATAGGTAAATAAAATCAAATCTTTTGAATGACATTATTTTTCTGACTAGAAAGTGTGTGTGTGTGTGTGTGAGGGTGTGTGTGTGTGTGTGAATAGATAGGTAGGTTTTTGAAGGGACGCAAAACAGAGAAAAGAAACTTGGAATAAAATAAGGAAGAGTCGTCTCTCTTGTCTGAAAGAAAATTGAATATATTTCCATTAAAAATGCACCATCCAAACGACGGAAAACTCGTGTAAATACAAAGCACACCAGAATTAATAATATAAAAAATACAAATCTGAAACCTGGCCAAAATGATCTATTAATATTTAAACTTACCTGCTATCATAGGTATAGTCGTAGTCGTAATAGTAATAGTAGTAGTAGTAACAGTAATAACGGGAGTAGTAGCTATTGTATCTGCAGTAGTACGCTGCACTGATTAGGTTAGGTACTGGAAATAAAATGTACCTTCAAGTTAATACTGACACACCCTGGAAGATCGGGGTACTTTTTTTCTGGGATGAAATATTGATAAAAGTTGAAACGCTTAATGATTGTTAGTAAATATTGACTCGTCTATTTCAAAAACAAATCTTGGTATCAAATTTTTCCCGCTACTCGGAAAAGCTTTGAAATCAACAAAGCAGAAATTGGATACACGCGGAAGATTCTTATGCTTGTATACGGTAATATTTTTAAAAAATATATTCAGATAAACATCCGTAAGACGTTACCGATGCATTTTTGACGAGTTTATCCACAATCAAAATAAATCTCTCACTCACACATTTAATATTTCTTCTTGCATTTCCTCTTGGTAGCATTTAAGAGAAAGTCACTTTAAAAGTTAGCTACACCCACGAACTTCCTAACAAAAAAATACTATAGTTAACTATAGTTCACTAAAGTTAACTATAGTAAATCAAAGTGTCAAAGTTATCACTATAGTAAATCAAAGTTTTAATGTATTCATGTTGTTAAAAATTAACTATAGTTAACTATAGTAAACTATAGTATTTTTTGTTAGGGTTTTTTTTTTCTTTTTCGCATCTTTCTATCTTTTGACTTTTAATTTCCATTTTCAACAGTAATTTATACAAATTTTAAAAATCTTCATAAAGTTTCTTATTTTCCTTCTCTGTAGTAAAGGTTTCTGACGTCATGTCTTGGTGTTTAATCAGGAAATCTACTTTTTCGTAGTGGAAGGAGATAGCGAACGGACGATGAGTCAACCTTTGAATACGGCAATATACAAAATCTATGCCCAACAGTATGAATTTAGAATGAACTTTGGTCATTAAAAAATCAACAACAAGAAAGCAATTCAACTCGAGACATTTTATAGCAAAACAACTGTAAAGATAATTAAAAAAAAGGCATGCCAATTAAGAAGCTTGTGAGAGTTTTGATAGATTTAGAGATGAACTGAAAGCAACGTCAAAATGATGTAAGCAACAATGTTGTCGCGCGGTGATAGACGAAACCTAACCTTGTGTTTGTCTTAATACTTAAAATATATATATATATATATATATCTAAATGATTTTTAGGCAACAGTCATAATGAAAAGGGATCATATTAGTATAGAAAATTTTGTTGACGACTTCTCGTTATTCAAGATTTTAAGACATATGTGACATTTCTTTGGGATTAACCTTGTATTTTTATAGAACTTTGCAACAGATCATAACCTGAACGGAATGATTGAGAAATCATGCATGTACCAAAAATAGATCAGTAATCGATTTTTAAGTTCTTATTCATATTTCGGTTTTCTTATACCGTATTGAATAACTTTGTTGGCTTTATAAATGATGTCAGTAATTGAACAACGGCAATGGCAGAAAGTGTGAATGATATTTATCGATGCGTATGCTGGGTATGATCAGCATATTTGTAAAATTTTCAGAGATAAATGTTTTAAATTAAAATTCAATTTAATTGATCTGTAGAGGGTTTTAAATGTTTCTTTAAGTTTGTAAAAAGTAGTTTTCTTTTCCTCTTTGTGAACATGAACTATTTATAAAATATACCTTACAGTAGGATTTAAGGTAATGTAATTCAAACAAATAGTCGGCATTATATAATTCAATTTGAATTCTACAAAGATTATTCATATTGATTGAAGAGTTTAAGAGAATCCTATTCTTAATTAGAAAGAACAATTAATTACATTAAAGCTATGAATATATGTATATAAATAAGTCTCTTACTCACAAAGACAAGTAAGGAGAAAACACACGTTTTCCAAAGTGAACAAAATGGAAGCCATATTTTTGTGTATGTATCCAACTGAAGGAACCAAAATAAAAAAAAAATCTCGAGTTTTATTTACGTGATTTATTCTATTCTTTAAAGATACGGCAATTTGAACATGAATACATTAAAGTTTTAAACCCCAAGAATTTATTGGCACAGGTAGCTTATTGACTATCAGGCGTGCAGAATACGTGCAGATCAAATGATCTTTAAAACAAAGCTTTTTATCTATTAGGTTAAAAGTTTAATTAAAACCGATGCAAGTAGCACACACGCAAAAAATGAACAGCACTGAAAAATTAAATCACCTTAGTAAAATAATGATGCTGAAAAACTTGTTCACAAAAGTATCATAAAAACTGCTAGTTTGAGATAAATTAATACATGCATATGTTAACTAATCGGTAAATTCATACTTAATACAGAACGAAAAAAATTGCCTTCCTGCAAACATTGTCTGATACTACGGAAGCCAATTAGTGCCAACCTGTATATATAAAGGAAAAGCAATATATAAAAGCAAACCTCAAAATATAAAGGAAATGCAAAATATCAAGAGCTGATAAAAAAAAATAAGAATGTATTGAAACGTATGATTTCTATGGCAAACTTTGAAAATGTGATTTTGTTCTTGCACGGAATGAATATATAAACAAAACCTCGATATATATATATATATATATATATATATATATATATATATATATATATATATATATATATATATATATATATAGGAAATACGAAATATAAAACCAAACCCCGATATATATAAAGGAAATTCGAAATATATAAACAAAACCTCGATATATATAAAGAGAAATGCGAAATATATAGAAAGAAAATTTTCCACTGCGTGACCTGAGCTCAGCTTTCCATCACGATTATACAGATTAACTCCTGGCAGGGGTAAATCAGTGATAGTACTCCTGTATCACGTTCCCAGAATCACAGAATGGTGCTATTTAATAGTGTTTATTTATTTATGCATACTGTAATTGTAACATTACTTAATATAATGTACTTAATTGAGTAGATGAGCATTTAATCATATATTGATGAAATTAGTATAATGAGTATCGTATTTTCTGTGTATTTATTGGTTTTACATGTATTTTAGATCAACTTTGTTTTCACAATCTACCTTGTTAACTGTTTTACAAAAACCGTATTACCTTTGGTCCCACAACTGAGAATTTATGAAAATAATGTTCAACATGGAGTCTTAACAACTTCAGTTTTTCTTATGCCCATATTCAAATTAATTTAGATTAATTATATAAGTAATATACTTGTTTTCCCATTGAAAAACATCTATAATTAAAAAGAAAATCGGAATGGGAGAGAGGGAAGAGATGAAGGTACACATTTTTCCCCACTTCATTTGAATGCGAGGGAGGATCGGATTTTGAGAGAAGAAGGTAACAGTTACAACTGTAATAATTTAAGGGTCTTTGGTATTAAAAAATATCATGTATTAGGGAATTAATGAAAGGAAACGAGTTAATGCACACTTACATAATTATAGTGCGGATTATTGTTCCACGTTGTAAATATAATGTATTACTAAACATGTAAATAGAATAATAGCATTATTATTTAGTGACAAGATGACAGAAAGAATCCCCGTCAAAGTCTCGTTATGTTAACGATTTTAAATTCTCTATGCATCATGTGTAAAACAAAGTAAAAAAATAACGAACTTATAAAACATGATATAACACACATGCATTTTTGAAATAAATTATATTTCGATTGAAAAGACCCCCAATTTTTAGTACTATGGAATAAACATGTTGAGAAAACAGTCTCTTTGATTTAGTTCTGCCCAAACGTTTGAAATGTAAGAGGAACGGCGGTTTAATAGCTTTAGTTTTAATCATCATATTAAGACATACAAATAAAGGAAAAAAACAATACACTGAATACCATCCTGAAACTGAGCCACATCAACCGTTTGCACTCAAACAGTAGCTCGGGGAGCCGCTCATCAGATGATGGCGAATCCCTGATGTAATGAAGGTCATTAAAGGTCAGGCGATGGAAATGTTTCTCTTTATATATCGCATTTCCCTTTATATATCTCGAGGTTTTTGTTTATATATTTTGCATTTCTCTTTATATGTATCAAGGGTGTGTTTATATATTTCGCATTTCTTTTATATATATCAAGGTTCTGTTAATATATTTCGCATTTCCTTTATATATATCGAGGTTTTTTTTTGTATTTCGCGTTTCCTTTATATATTGAGGTTTGCTTTTATAAATAGCTTTTCCTTTACTTATACAGGTTGGCACTAATGGGCTTCCGTATGATACAGACATTGCTGAAAATTCGTGGCAATGAAACTGAGACTGAAACAAGACTGCCTTATGATTGCAATAAGCGTGCAGCGAGTATACAGTAAGCTTACGGAAAACATTTTACATGTAAATGAGGTTTGTCACAAGTCTGCTTACTTGCCGCAAACATTGCTGCAAACATGTGGCAAATGTAGCGCCGTCGAGCGGTAAACGGCTTTTTTTATTACCTCATACAGTAAAATGGAAAAATGTTTCCTCTGTTTTAAAATCTCCTCAATGTTTGAAATAAAACGATCTGGTAAGTTTTATATACAATTTATTTACAGGGACAGGTGCTCGTAAAACACATCACAATAATATAAAGTCAATAATCCAGTATCTTTTGAACGTTCTATATACACATAAATCCCTAATCACAGTGACTGACCCAAAATTCCCCCCATATATATACCCGCGGGCTGATGCTCATAAGGAGCATCACCTTCAAAACAAAAAGAATTGCGTAACAAACTAACCGATCCTCGCGAGGAGCATCGAGAAGCTATCTAAAAATAGTTATATAAACAATAATTGACTGTTAGCATAATTAAATATCAAATAAACTAAACAATTTTTTTTTCAATTAACCTAAAACACTACAACTCCCCCACGCTTAACTTTTGACTCCGTTCAAAAAATAATACACATTACAAATCAATATCAACAAAATAGGTTATACACTGTATGTACATATAGACATTAATTTAAACAATATTTACAGTCCAATGTTTTCACAAGTAACTAAAGTCTCCGGAGGTGAACCTAATCCTCGAAATGTTTCGGAATTTCGGACAGTACTTCCGAAGCTACACTTTCGTAGTCTATCTCACTCGGCGTCAAATCCTCGGAATATACCACATGTGTGTCCCGGCTAACTTCTATGGTGCCGTCAGGGTAGTTCCTTGTGGTTTTATTTAAGAGGAGACACATGGTTGCTTTTATGATATTGTTATTGTCCATGCAATCCTCACTCGCGATATCACTGTCGGTCTCTCTGAATTCTACTTTTCTACCTCCATCTGAATTCTGGTCTTCCTCGATTTTTTCTTCCCTATCGCTATCGGCCACAACAATCCGCTCGTCATCAATGTCGCAATAATCCAAAGGTTCATCGGCCCGATCCTCAAAGTCATTGGTGTTCACCGAAATAATTTCCAAATCCTGCATGAAGTCAGATTGTCCAATGTCACAATTTTGGGGAGTCTGGTCCATACGAATGATCACGTCCTCGTCTGATGAAATGTCCTCGTAGAGATCACTTAGCACATAAACAGCTTCTTTGAGGATGAATAAAAGTCTCTGTTCACATTATTTCCTTAAGTCCGCTCCATTTCTTCGTTAACACTCATTTCACTAAGTTAATGCACTTTCTTGTAATGTCGCTTCAAGTTTGACGATCTACGAAAAAGTTGCTGACAAAAGTTACATTTTAGCGATTTCACTTGAGACTGGTGTTGTTCTTTCAAATGTCTTTTCAAATTACACTGATGATTAAAAAAAAATCCACAAATACCGCATAGAAATCCCATCTAATCTCGTTAAAATCCTAATTAAAAGTGTCAGTCTCTGAATCTCAACGGGCGTTTAACTAGTCCAAATCGAGTCGTCTTGGTAACGGGACTTTTAGGGCTGTCCTTAGACGTTTGCTCTTTTTATCGTCATTTGATTGGCTGTCGGCATGTAACTGTTCTGCTTCGGCAGCTCTGGTCAAAGGGGTGACTGGCGGTGACTTCAATCGAGTACAATCGGGTCTTTCGCTCGCAGCTGGCACGCGTCGGTAGTGAACATCTGGTGTCTCGCCACTTGTGTATTCGGATTCTTCAGACTGGAGAGTTGGTCGCTTGCCCCCTTTGTACGGTTTAAGGTTGTCGGCATGAACAACTACTGGTTTTGATTGTTTCGAAGGTCTTATTTGATAAAGTACATCACTCAACAGTTTTTCTATAGTCCACGGGCCTGTCCATTTTCTGGCTAATTTTTATTTAGTTCATTTAGCTACTTTTGTTTGACTTCGTCTCACTAAATCACCAATGTCGTAATTAATTTCACGCACATTTCGATCGAAATATGATTTCTGTCTTAGAGAAGATTTCTTTGAAATTTTCTGGCATATTCGTGAATTTCAAAGAGTTTTTTTTCTAACAAACGGACATACGCTACTTGGTTCAGTTCAATCTTTGGACACAGGTTATTTTCATCTCCGGTTATAACATCAATCGGCAATCTAGCCTCTCTTCCAAACACTAATCTGTACGGTGAAATACCTGTCGTCTCATGTGGGGTAGTATTATACGCAAGAACAATTCTGTCAATATAATTGTCCCAATCTGTCTGATTTGCACTAATATACTTTGAAAGCATGTCTTTGTGCGATTAATTCTCTCCACCATTCCGTCAGACTGTGGGTGATACGGTGTGGTTCTAGTTTTGTCAATTTGCAATAAATAGCACATCTGCTGAAAAAGTTTACTTTCAAATTGTTTGCCTTGGTCAGAATGAATTGTGCCTGGGCACCCATATCGTTTAATCCAACCTTTGAAAATAACTTCGGCCACTGTCTTAGCTTCGATGTTCATTAACGGATATATCTCAGTAAATTTAGTAAAATAATCCATCAATACTAAAATATACGCATATCCGTGTTTTGATTTTGGAAATGGTCCCGCAATGTCAACTGCTATTCTTTCAAA